AGAGTTGGATGAGCCTATCTATGGCGACAAGCACACCCTGTGGACAAGGCTGAAGAAAGCAGAAGCTGCATTGAATGCACGAAGAGCCTCAGCAAGAGACTATGTGGAGAAGCATAGCGAGAGGCAGCAAGCCTTGCGAGAAGGGCGTGGAGCCGAAGTTCAAGAGCTTCCAAAGCCGGTGATCCCCAGTGATGAGGAGATGAGGCAGCATGCTTTGACACATCTGCCACCACAACCCTGGTGTGAATTCTGCACCCGAGACCATGGCGTGGAGATTGCTCACAAGCGAAGGACCTTGGAGCAGAAGCTGTCTGACAACCACTTCGAGCTTGACTACAGCTTCTTGAAGACCGACACCAGCCTGGCCGACAAGTTCGAGGAGTGCAGTGACACAGTGCTGTCAGTGGTTGACACTGGCACTGGCATGGGACTGGCCTTCAGCATCCCAGCCAAGAACTTGGGCATCCCCTACGTGGTGAAGGTCATCACATCCTTCATCGCCCAGCTGGGGTATGACACAGTGAAGCTGAGATCAGACAACGAACCAGCGATCAAGAAAGTGAAGGGGCAGATCGCTGAGGCCTTGAGGAAGGGTGAAGCACCCGGAGCTGCTGGATTGAAGATCATCTTCGAGGAGGTTCCAAGGTATAGTTCACAGAGCCTTGGAACGATGGGGGCATTCCAGAAATTGCTTCGTGGAGATGTCCTGACTTTGAGGTATGCAGTCGAAGCGGAGTATGGCATCACATTGCATACATCCCACAACCTATGGCCCTGGTTGGTGCGCTACTGCTCTTTCATCAGACGCCGCTATGCAGTCAAGTCGAACCAGCGCACAGCATACCAGGATGCATTTGACTGCCAGTACACGTCACCTCTCATCCCGTTTGCAGAGACAGTCCTCTTCAAGACCCCCATGAGTAAGGCCAGAAGGGCGCATGGGAGAAATGTGATCACCAAAGGTGAGACGGCATGGGCAAAGGGAATCTACCTCGGCAGGAGTGTGACCAGCAACGAGTACTTCCTTGGCACGCCAGATGGCACCGTGTCAGCAAGATCTGTGAGGAGATTCGCAGACAGCGCCAAGACCCATGACCGAGACCTATTGGAGGCCATGATTGGGGTACCTTGGGACCAAGGAACCACCATTGGACGTCCCAAGAGGAAGATCGAGGCAATCATGCCGATGACCCCGAGTGCAGTTCCAACGGAAGCTGAGACTGATGAGAAGAAGGCCAAGATCAAGACCTTTGAGGAAGAGCCGACAGAGCCAACACTCAATCAAGGCGGGCCATCGTCCGGCAGTGGACGGAATGACGAACCCATCCTCATCAGCGAGAAGCCTGCCAATGTGGAGCCCTCTCAGGAGGCGATGGAGACTGAACAAGTCATCGACAAGTCCCCCATGGAGATCAAGGTTTCTGCAAGACGTGCCTGGCCTGGTGGAGATGATGAAAACCCAGAAAAGAGGGCACGCGTGGGCGGAGTATATGTTGGGGCACTGTACTCGCCGACCGAGGATGTGATCGTCTATGAGGAGGATGTGGAAATGGCAGCAGTGGACTCCGATGATGAGGAGAGCAAGCCTTTGACGGCAGAGGAACGAGCACAAGGCCGAGAGGTCGAGTATGGGAAGATGGACAAGTACGACACCTATGAGCCTGTGTCCTACCAGCCTGGAATGAAGGTGCTGGATGCCACATGGGTGGAGGTGCGAAAGCCGGACGGAGCAGTGAGATGCCGATACTGTGTCCGCGAGTTCAAACAAGGTGATCCAAGGACTGATGTGTTTGCTGTAGCCTCCAGCACATCGACTTCAAGAGTGGTGGACGTCATTGGCATCAAGATGGGCTACGCCTTCATGACCGCAGACGCCGAGAATGCTTTCTGGCAGGTTCCCATCAAAGAAGATGCATACATGCTCCCTCCGAAGGACTGGATCGAGAAGCAGATCGAGGCCGGTGTGACCCTGCCTGAGAAGGTGGTTTGGAAGTTGAAGAAAGAATGGTATGGGAGGAGGATTGCTGGACAATGTTTCGTCGAATGGGCAGCAGGGCACCTCAAGGACTTGGGGTTCAGCCGTAACCCAGCTGCACCCTGGCTGTTCCACAATTCCAGCAAGGGCATCCTCATGGAAGTTCACATGGACGACTTCTTTGCCACTGGACCGCAGAGATCCCTGGAAGAGCTGGAGAAAGAGCTCCACAAGAGGATTCGCATGAAGAGCCAGATCCACCCGTTGATTGAGGGAGAGAAGTTCACGCACCTGAAACGCACAAGGGAGATCTATAGCAATGGAATCTTCATCAGCCCAAGGTCCAAGTACATCACCGACCTGCTGAAGATGTTGAAGCTTGAGAACTGCAACCCAGCACCGACTCCCTATGTTCACAGTGAGGTGAAGGAGGGTCAGAAGCTGAACGAAAGCTGCACGAAGCTGTTCAGGGCTGGAGTTGGCATTGCACTCTACTTGAGCTACGACCGGACTGACATCCAGTTTGCCATCCGCGAGCTCACGAAGGACATGAAAGACCCCAATGATGGAAGCATGGCAAAGCTGCATCGCTTGGCAAGATACCTGCAGGGCACGAAGGACTATGGCATCTGGCTGGAGCGCAGGGGGGACATCGAGACCCTTGTTGTCCATTCGGACACGGACTGGGCGAATTGCAAGAAGACAAAGTCATGTGCCTGCGCCATGTTTAGTGTTGGTGGCTGCTTGCTCTACAGCTACGCCCGCAGCCTACAGATGCTGTGCCTGTCCTCAGGTGAAGCCGAGTTCAATGGAGGAGTGGCAGCATGTGCCGAGGGATTGTTCCTGAAGGAGATCTTCATGTTTGCAGGACATCCCATCAAGATGGAAGTCTTCCTGGACTCAAGCGCAGCAAGAGGAGTCTTCCAACGACAAGGTGTGGGGCGCATCCGCCATTTGGAAGTGAAGAGCCTATGGGTTCAAGAAGCATTGCAGCGAAAGCTGTTCACGCTGCATGCTGTGCCGAGCAGTGACAACACAGCTGACTTTGGCACCAAAGCCCTGACCATCGAGAGATTCCACAAGTTGAGGACCATGTTGAAGATTGGCACCCATGAGGAGGTCAGCGAGAAGGAGAAGAACCACGTGAATGTGGTGAGCACCGCTGGCCAGTTCAGCAAGAAGATGATGATTGCAGCACTCATCACGATGCTGCAACAGGCAGATGGAGCAAGGGAAGCTGATGAGCCCAATGCCGAGAGTGGCACCCTCAGCCAGTGGATCTTTACAGATCTGGCTGTCGCCTTCACTTCAGTTGGGTCCTTGTGATCCAGGTGATCATGCTGGCTGGATTCCTCTGGCTGTTCGGCAAGATCAATGGGGGCTTGAGCATCCGACTTGGGAAGACAACGGAGACAAAAGATGCAAGCACCCAGGTCGAGTGGATGGCGCAGAAATGGAGCAAAGTCTTCTGGCTTGAAGGCCGAGAAGTTTTCCACGTCGATTGCACGTGTCCTCGACTCCAGCAAAGGTCGAGGGAGTTTGAAGTGCTTCGACTTTGCAGAAGCTGCCCGACAAATGGGCCAGCCTAAGCTTGCGAAACCCTACACTCGTGTATAGTTTCGAGGGGGGTGCAAGCAGTTACATACACTTTGTACACGTACATTTGCAGCCCTCTTTGAGGTCCGAGAAAAGGGGCGCCATCGTTTGCAACATCCCTGAATAAAATACCCATTGCTATGACCAAAGGTGCTGAACGACCTACGGCTAACAGGCAGGATTTAGAGAGATAGGGTTCCACTCTGTTCCGAGGGCTGGTGTGGGGGAGTAATGAATCTTGACTCATTCTGAGACCAGTCTGTACACATGGTGGTGTGAGGTCAACCATTCAGCGGTATTTGCGGTGCGACATGGGGTCTGTGTGCGACATGGATTCAAGAGACGCAACCCACCCAGAGATGTATAGAGATGTCTGGGCTTGTATGTCGCAGAGATGTCTGGGCATGCACGGGCTGGTTTTTCAACACTCTTGTTTGGTTTGGCCTCCATGGCCTCCTTGTGCTTGCACGTCTCAAGCCGAGGCCTCGTTCTTTGCTTTGCCGAGGTGACAAGCCGCTCGCGCCGCTCACCGCGGTTTCGGAGCCGGGGAGCTCCAGCTGCGAAACCTCGGCCGACGATGCGCGGTTTCCGGGGCGTTAAGTAGAGAAGACGAGCTCAATAATGTCCCATACAAGCGGGCCAGGCCTGTGGAATTGAGCTACGTCGCAGATGCCTGAATCAGACCGTATGCTGCATTCGCGCAGGAATGAACCTGTGGAATGTGGAGGACACCAGTCCGTGATTCAGGTCTTATGGGACATCGATGAATCAGGTACTGTATTTGAAATAATGGGTGAACTTGAAACTTACCTATCAATATTAATTGATCACCTATTATTGATAGGAGAGAAAGTCCGATGACCTTCTCACACATTTACAACTTCAACTGCGTCACAGAAGACCTTCGGTGGCCAGACTTGTGCAGTGAGCCTCACGCAGTGATTCTCGCCGGCAGCTCAATCAGCTTAATCAAACAGAGCAGACCTTGCTAGCTTCCGCTGGCACCCTGCCTGCGGGCTGATGATAGACAGTCCTGAAGGTAGGAAGGCCTTTGCATACAGCTGTTGTGAGACTGTTAGTTTCGTCATGTTTTGTCATGGACACGCTGTGGCTGAACATAGCCAAGGAGTCTCAGGCTTGGACCCCCTCTCAAAACAGAAAATCCAAATCTGTATCAATTGAGATGGGTGGATCGTTAAATGGTCAGCATAGATGGATCTGAAGAGATTGTAGATAGCGCAGACCGAGACGTATATAGATCCTTCATGATCCTTCTACGCGTCATTGGGTTAGCAAGTCCCCTCCAAATCCGACATCGAACCGCCCATGCCTGCTGATCCTAATCCTGTGATGAGAGTATTCCGACTATCAATCCTGCTCCCACCGCTCATGGCGCTCTCATGCGGGAGCCACGCGAGCGCCGTCAGCCATGCGAAAGGGGCATGTTTGGTGGTTCACTGGCGTGGTAGGCGACATGGCATTGGTCCTGTTTGATCACGAGCGTCACAGAATTGGTGTACTGTCATTGCCTGTGCCGTACTGTGTCAGCATGGAAAGACATGTTCGGATTCTTTGCACTCCCCAATGCCACTCCCAGGCGCCCAAGCTGGCGCTGTGGGCACGTGCCTGGCCGGGCCTGGAGATCGCCTGCCACCGGAAGAGGCCTTGAAACGACAGAGGGACGCTGCAGCCGCTCTGGATGCGGAGGTGTTCTTCTTGCTGACGCTGAAGGTGGGAGACGTGTGTGTTGATGGTGTGTTGATGGTGTGTTGTGCTATTCTGCTCGCTGTGCTGCATGCTCTGGATGGTTATCGGATCGGAGATCAACATCAGTAGTTGCTTCAGTTGCTTCTCTCTTCAAGGTGGAGAGTTGGCTAAGTCACAGAACATGCAAGTTCGTCACAGATGTTCACAGGTCAGTGATGGAGCTCCAATGACGGTCGCATCGGCATCGAACTCACGGCCGCGTCGGTCATCGGTCGTGCCTCCCGGTGGTCCAGGTGCGCCCAGAGCGTCCGGAGACGGGGCCGCCAGAGGCCCACTGGGCCAAGAAGGCGGGAGCTGGATGAGGTCCATGAACGATGGTCACACACAGACACACAACATGTTCTTCCAGTTGCTTTGCAGCAAGGATTTGTTGAGGCCGATGCATTTTCGTGCAATTAGATAGTTTGGCTTGGGGCATGCTTTTGTTATAGCACTTGAACCTTACAGCTGGCGAATGCTGGCGATCATCGTCGGCAAAACGACCAGCAACGTCCTGGTATTCTCCGGTTTCCACTTTTATGTAAAGGTGAGGGACGTACATAAGAAATCAGTGGGTCTGACGGTCATCCCGGTTTGTTGATGTTTGTCGCATGGATGTGCAGGTTGCCGTTTTTTCCTTAATTAGTGACTTAGTGCATGCCGGCAAGGATGAACAACATGGCATTGAGAGACATTGCGGGCCCCATTGTTTGGCACGCATATATGCAAATAAGGTACAAGTAAGGACCTTCATTGAACCACATGCACGCCGGCGGTGCGGTCTCCACCATCTCGTCGAGCGTGCAGGTCTACTATGTCTACGATGGCCGAGGGCGAGAGGCATTGCTGTTTGATCACCTGCACTTTGCTCAGAACAGCTCTGCCCTCAAGGAGCCTGGGAAGATCCATCACAATGGAACCCGGGAGATGTGGTGGTCTTGACAAAAGCCTGGAAGCACGAGCTTGCACAGCAACCAGCTGTTGCAGTGTGTCATGTTGAGATCATGTGCGCTGAACCCCGCCGTGGCACCCCGACGTTGCCAGGAGTACGAAGAGATCCCCGGCAACTTCCTCGCACCTTTGGCGGCGTGCCTTGGGTGTAAGATGGTGCGAGTATGCCCAAGGCTTTTTGAGGATGATGTTTTGGTACGAGATTAACAGAGCATATCACCAATCTACAAATCACGAAAGCTAGCTGTAGCTAGCTGGAGTCTGTCTTGCTTTAGCAAGGAGGGTGGGAGCCCAGGACCTGAGTGCTATTACCTGGTATATCAGGACTAGACCCCCCCCCCCCTCGCGGGGTTCAACTCCACCCTTCTCCTCCTCGGTACCTGCTGCTGCTGCTTGGTCGCTGCTGCTGCTGCTGCTGGCATCTCATCTGCGCCTGGCGCTTGGCTGCTTGCTGGTTGCTGCTGCTTGCTGCTTGCATGCTTGGTGCTGCTGGATGCTCTTGGCTGCTTGCACGCTTGCTGCTGCTGGATGCTGGCTGCCTGCTGCTTGTTGTCTGCTCCGTTTTGCTGCTGTTGCTGTTTGGGGTTGTTGGCTGCTGTTGGTGCTCAAGAAAGCTTATTCGTTAGAATCGAGAGTAGTTGCATTCCCTCTGATTCGGGAAACGATGCTAATTTCATTATATCCTTAAGAAGCTTGTACAGGCATGTACCCACCCCACAACCCCCACGAGTACAAATCAGAATGCACCATCCGCTATCCATGCAGATCAAAAAGATTATACTTACTACACACATGAATGACAGAACCCAGTAAGATGTTTGAACGGGCTGTTTGCTTCACTCATGGTAGTCCGCGTTCCATGTTCGAGCGACAGGGAGCATGCACAAGCGTTGCGACGGAGTCTTCGGTCGCTGACACATGTTCGCATGCAACCCCTGGATGTCAATCATGCACACCGCTTCTGGTTGCATCGTCAGCATTTATTCGTGGAAAAAACAGATATATCAGATATATCTGTCTTTCCACGTCGCCCTTCTACAATTACTCAGGCAGCACCTATATGTGCTATTGTTCGAGACCAAATGTTGGGGCGCGAAAGACTCTAAGGAAAGCTCACTCTTTCCCTGCTGCTGCTGCTGCTGCTGCTGCTGCTTGGTAGCTGGTGGTGCTGCTTGGTAGCTGCTGTTGATGCTGCTGCTGCTTGGTAGCTGCTGCTGATGCTGCTGCTGCTTGGTGGCTGCTGCTGCTGCTGCTTGGTAGCTGCTGCTGCTACTGCTGCTGCTGCTTGGTAGCTGATGCTGCTGTTGCTTGGTAGCTGCTGCTTGGTAGCTGCTGCTGCTGCTGCTGCTGCTGCTTGGTAGCTGCTGCTGCTGCTGCTGCTTGGTAGCTGCTTGGTAGCTGCTTGGTAGCTGCTCCTGCTGCTGCTGCTGCTTGGTAGCTGGTGCTGCTGCTTGCTAGCTACTCCTGCTGCTGCTTCTGCTCTGCTTGCTGCCGCTGCCGCTGCTGGTTACAGTTATTGTTGTTGTGGCTGCTGCGGTTGCTGGGGTGGTTGTGTGTTGCCATGTGTTGGCTGTGTTGGGGTCGTATTGGGGGGCGCTGTTGGCACTCTCCTTTTCCCTTGGCCATGGCATGTTGCGATTCCCGGCCAGGCTTTTGCTGCCTAAAGAGCCCCAGCGTTGTTTCTTTCCCTAGCTTTCGCCACCCCCCTCTGGGCCACAAGTAGCTTTCTACATTTCTGTGTTTGAAAAGGGGGTTCCCTCATTGCATCTTTTATTTGCTTGGATGACAGTATTCTGCTTTATTGCTGTTACATTGGAAGCCTATCAGAGCAGACCAAACGTCCTTTTTACTTTCATACTTATGCAACAGTTGCCGCTGGTAGTGATGTTGAGGGTTTGTCTTTGAGCCTCATCTTGTAAGGACCCTCAATGGTCGCAATGCGTTTCACCTGCGGAATTTGTGGCAATGCTTTGAGATCCTGGTGGCAGAGGACTGGGTGAGAGACGGATTTTTTTCGGACGGAGCATGGCTGATCCAACCGATCTTCTCCAAGCTTTCGGACCAATCACGGCACAACAAGCGACTCGTTTCGAACTCGCTGGACCACCCCGATCGACCCATCACCCCGATCGGAGTCATTCGTCCGGATGGAGAAAGAAGAGAAGCTGATCGTCTGACTCTCTAGACGATGAAGACATCTCTAGAGACGATGAAGTGAGTACCATTTTTAGTTCTGAAGGGGTTCCGTGTTTCCGTTGAGTGTTTGTGTGTAGAAGGCCCCAGCCAGGCCAGCACGCCGACGGTGGACGACCATCCATTTGAGATTGGTGAACCCGAAGTCCCAAAATCATCGGTGACCACTGGCGAAGACGGACCGCACCCGTTTTGGGTCAAAACGGAGGAATCTGCCCGCGGTGAGCGCTACAAGTACTGGAGCTTTTCTCGCCTGGACTGGTATTGGTTGGCTCCACCTCCCCGGTTGGAGCTTTTCATCGAAGCTGATCCAAGAGCTCTCTGGATCCCAGATGGTTCTGACTGGGATGGCATCAATGACCGTCCACCATTTTGGAATTAAGAAGTGTTGGAATGTGTTGGAATGCTTTTACTAATCTTTAATAGCGTTTGGCACCTTTAAACAGAACACGAGCAAACACGTCACGTTTTGGCGGACTGGGATGCCTGGACCGGCCGCATGGACGACTCTGAGGTTTTGCACTAGTGCCTCGGCGCTTTGGGCACATCTACTTTGGCAGATGGCCCTGGATCCTGAATGGCTCCTACCTCCAGATGATGAAAAACGCAGCTCCTTTAAACTTTGAACTCTCACCCAAGTTCTTTGGAGGCGCAGGACTTTTGTTGACGGCGCCCATCGGCGCCCTGTGTGGTCAAGTCGGTACAAGCACAAGAACCCGTAGGAAAGAAAAAGAAGCTTCTAATATCTTCTAATGGCTTCTTTGCTCCTAGTAGTACGGCCAGGAGCCCCCGGTTAGCATTCTTGTTCCTAGTAGCGTCCTCGCCGAATGGCGATTCTCCGGTGTGATTGTGCGCTGAAAACGTGCGCCGAGATCTGCACTTACAATCTGCAAAAAAGGCTCTTGGGCCCCACTCCTCGATGGAGCGAACATCACCATGCTGCACTGCTCACCACGAAGAAAAACACAAACACACTTTGACATGGGGTTTTCAGTTAACTCAGTTCCCAGGTCGAAAATGGTGAGAGAAACGCAAGGTGAAAAAGTCGGCGAGAAACAGTATGGTTTAACAGTGTTTTCAAGTGATCTCGAGATCGATCTGTACAATCAGCGCGGTGACGAGCTCAGCTGCAGGAAAGTAGGTTTGGGGGAAAAGTATCATGCAAGGACCATGGAAAGAAACTGGAGGAAATTGGAGTCACAGCTTGCGATCACGGCAGGTACGCTGGGATGATCAGTCCCAGTATCACCAGGAAATCGAGAGTGTCTTCATTGGTGGCAGACTCTCGTTCCTGCTGCCACCCCCTGCGATACGGATCGAATAGAAACTCTTTGGAACAGAGTGTGACACACTCTGACATGGGTTTTCAGTTACACTCAATTCCCCGAGGAAAGGAATGGCTCAACGGCAAGGTGATGAGTCCGATCAATTGAAGGTGTTTCAACACATAGTTTGTGCACATCTGCAGACTCGCGACAGCAGCGAACGAGCGGCGGACGGCTGCTGAAAGCCGCGGTGGGAAACCTGTTTAGGGGAAGGAAGACATGAAGCACCATGGAAACAAACCAGGAGAGTAGACAGCGTGTGCAAAAGTTCAAAACTGGCGCAGGTACGTTCGGATGATCCATCCGAATATCCCACTCTGTGACCTAGCTTCGTTGAACTGGGTCAGTCACAGAGTGCCCAGTTCCCCTGCCTTATGGAGTAGTGGTGGTGGAAACAGTGGCATTGAACCCTTTAGTACAGGGGGTCAGCCGCTTTGCGGCGCTTTCGCGGAAAACCGAAATAGGCACCTAAAAAGCCTTAGAAACAAAAGAAAGAAAACCAGAAAGAGCAGCGCTAAAAGGGCAAGAGAGAAAGATAGGCGTAGCAAAAAGTCAATACTTAGCCCTTGACCCTTGACTGGGGTAGGGAAACGAGCCTCAAGAACTAAGCCTGAAGGAAAGCCCAAAAAGCGACAAAAAGCGGAAGAAAGAAAGCGGGGGGCAGGGAGGTGTATGTCCATGTGTGTGTGTGTATGACTACCTAGCACTCTAGAATTACTGACTACTTAGCAGAAATGAATTAAGTGCAATAGTTAGGGAGCGGGACTTTAGTCTTAAACCGCCTGGGTAGAGTAGACTAGAAAAGGGACAACAGAGGGAAAGGCACCGACACACAAGTGTCGAGTACCATTTCCCTTTGTTACCCTAATTAGCGGGGGGGAGGGGTTGGGGTGTTTGGGGTAGTGAACACGTCGGGGTTCATTCTCCGTTGACCCGGCGGTTTGGATATCCGTGGAGCCCGGCGGCTTAGGTGTTTTTGGAAATACAGTGGTGAAACGAAAGTCCGTTAAGATAATCCAACGAGTGCAGAAAGCGGAAGAAACAGTCACTGTGCACCCACGTGACATTGGGTTTTCAGTTAACTCAGTTCCCAGGTCGAAAATGGTGAGAGAACGCAAGGTGAAAAAGTCGGCGAGAAACAGTATGGTTTAACAGTGTTTTCAAGTGATCTCGAGATCGATCTGTACAATCAGCGCGGTGACGAGCTCAGCTGCAGGAAAGTGGGTTTGGGGGAAAAGTATCATGCAAGGACCATGGAAACAAACCGGAGGAAATTGGAGTCACAGCTTGCGATCACGGCGGGTACGCTGGGATGATCAGCCCAGTATCACCAGGAAATCAAGAGTGTCTTCGTTGGTGGCAGGTTCTCGTTCCTGCTGCCACCCGCTGCGATACGGATCGGACAGAAACTCTTTGGAACAGAGTGTGACACACTGACACACACACACACACACTAAAGCCATTGAAGCAGTGATTCTTGTGTTTTCTTGTGTGTTTTGCTTCCATTTTTCCTCTCGCAGGCCCCGAGTGGTCCCTTTTGGCCGCCCTCAACTACCGTCGGGTGCCCGTGCGGCGCTTCACGCCCACCGGGGCGGTGCTGTGCCTCAACAGCCGCCGAGCGCGCTACGGGCGCTGCACGCGGCCACGGGTGGCCGGGGAGCCATCCTTCAAGTGACTGGGACGTGGAGCGAAACGATGGTCCAGGTGGTGTTGGGCCCTTCAGACAATCTGAGACAATGAGACAGGGCCAACATGTGGAAGTTTACAGTTTACACAGCGCGTTAATGGATTGAATTAGGATCATAGGATCGTTGGACCTTGTTCAAGGATGTTCAATGTTTTTTGTTTAGTTACTTTTGGGGCCACGACGGATTCAAATTCAAATGAGTTTTTTGTTTATTTGGGTGAGATGAGTTGCTTTCTGATCTATGAGGGGTCCCACCCTACTTGTAGCAGCCAACCGGACTGTTTCAAAAAGGGCCAATTGTATGGACTTGTGGCAATGTCCAAACAACGGAGTCTTTGATGAACAAAGGCAGTGACAATCTGATGAGAGCCCAGGTACAGCTCTGAGGCAAGTGAAGCACGAACAGCTTTGTCGCGCATGGCGCTGGGGTGGACTTGGCACTTCGCTCCTCCGCCTCTCTTCGAGCCACCCTGCTTTGAAGAGCCTGAAGACCAGTTGCAGTGCTGCAACCACAGGAGGGCCCGGGGAATGAAGCTGATCTGTAAGGGGTTGTTGGTCGTTGCTTTTTCAGCCGTCCTGCTGCAAAGACGCAGCTACACGCTGAGGTCACCTGGATGGAAAGTTGAACCAACACTGATCCAGCATGGGGTTGGTGGCAGACTTTGTAGCATTCGCTGGTGGACATGGACCTTAGACTTCCTGGTGCTGTATTCGTTGGTGGACATGATTGGACGTGGAAAAATCTTCAGATCAATCCCAACCGAACCAGTCCCAGCCTCATGGCTTCCGACACACCAGGCTTCATGGAGTGTCTGGAGATGCCCAGTGCTGGACGGACACTGGGTTTGCGCATCAGAAGGAGGGCTGTGGGGCTGTTTGCATGGGCAACCCAGTGCAAGGCAGCAATCCGACTGACTTTTACGAACTGGGGGGGGGGTTCCACTTCAGAGTGTTAGTGAGTCGGAGTGTACGAGGCAAAACTTCACTTACCGGTCCAGTGGGTTGCCCAAAGGGTCGAAGATCGTAGCCAGAACGTGAACAGACGACTTTTGAGTCACTTGGATGCATTGTACTCCAAGAAGCGAGACCTAAGTCATGCGGGGTTCAAAATGAACCAAACAATACCAAAGCTTACCAAAGGATGCCAAAGGTCCTTTGTTCAACGCTGCTGGTGACTATTGAACCTGGAGTAACCACTTTCGGCGGCAATCTTTTTCTCAGGATCTCCTTTGATCTCCTTTTGATATTTCAACAACAGATGATATGGGTACCCACCCTGCCATGTGATAGAAGACCAAAGCAGAACCATGCCATGGGTGATGCCGATTTGCGACGGATTTGCTTCAAGATCTATCGGAGTCCCCACCGACCGCGACGCCCAACGCCTCAGGACGTCTTCGACCATGGTCGATGCTGCCAACCACGGCATGGTTTGTGGATCTTGCCAAGTACAAGCATAGCCCAAGAGCCTTTGGTCAAGGGATGCCAAGGGTTTGTTTCACGAGTGGGAACTCTGAGTGAGGAGGACCAAGAAAGGGGCTTCGTTGTGAAGAAAGCTCGTCTAACATGTAAAGGTTGAACGGGGCCCAGTCACCTTCATGGTTTCGCAGTTCACCAACAGAATCGGAGAGGAGACTCCAAACAGGCCGCTGTTTCAACCTGTTTCGTCGTCAGCGGAAGTGCCGCACCCACCACCCCGTTTGGGGCACCGCCACGGTTGGGGGTCACCTGCTCGGTCCTTCTCCCAGGACTTGCTGACCTCGGGCTGCTTGGTTAGCAGCTGGGGAGCCGTTTGGCAGAGTCGGACAGTACTAGCGGCCCATCGGTGGGTTGTTCACGACCTTGAGCTGTGGAATGCAGGCATACGGTCGTGTATATATATGGTATGTCAGAACATAGCAGGATAACATTGCAAAGAACATCAAAGAACAAGCATGTTGGAGGCTGCTCTTGGGGCAGCCAAACTATTTTGAGCTGCACTCCGCAATCAAAGTGCCACTGGCACTATGCAGCAACAGATGTGTATATTGCAAAAATTGTTGTGAAACGATTTCTATACAAGCCATATTATGTGACTTGATAGCCATGCCCAAACAAGCAATACAGACACAATTGTGCTAAAGAAAAGGGTGCGTTTTGACCACTGCTCTCTCAGGAACCCTGCCTCTTTGCTGGCCAGTGGTGGAAGCAGTGAAGCAATGCATTACCGCAGTGCACTTGGATGGTCTAGCTGCTGATGAAAAAAGCCCGCAGCATTTGCAGCCGTGCTGGTGAATGCCCTCCAGACATGCTATGTAGATGGTCGTGTGAAAGCGTGTGACATTTGAGTGAATGTGCAATCGAGATGCTTGCTGGGTTGCTAATTCCTTAGCTATCCTTGGCTTCCCCGACTAAACATTCTTGTGATTTGAGGGTTCAACTCTCCGACGAGTCCAGGCAAGCTGAAACAGCCAACGTGGCAGATGGCCGCCGATGGCCTGGAGCTGAAATAGCGGCTTTAGTCTCCCCTTCCCGAAACGCTTGGGGCCAAACCAGCCAGAAGGATCTCACGTTGGTGACTTTGGCGACACTAAGCTATACGATATACAATGTGCATATATATATATATAACATATTACAATATATATATAGATAGATGTATACAATGCAGCGGGCAGCGAACCAAGTAAAGTTTTAGATAACCATGTGTAAAAACAATATAAAGCATTTTGATCATGAGATGCAACTTTTTTTGACCTCAATCGCCGGTGAAGTGGTGAAGATCATTACATCAGGCCAGGGCCAGGGCATGCTTTTAAAAACAGTATACTGGTCAATAGTGTCTTGAACAGGCCAACGTTCGAGGCTCAACGCATTCGACGCCCATCCTTGTTCTAAGAGGGCATGTGTGGCCAAGAGTTCTGGTCCCTAATGCCTTTTTGAAGCACAATCTCGCACGGATCGCGCTACGTGGGGATGGCAAAATTGAACACCTTTTGGTGGGCGCCGGATTGCGAATTTGTTGCCTCTGAGATGTGCTAGTTCTGTCCTGTTTAACCAATTCCAGGCTCACTGGCTGTGGCTGAGCTCACAACGATGAACATTTCATCACGTTTGGGGTTCCCATAATAGGGCTTGAAACCCCTCTAGGGTGTTGTTTGTTCGGGCATTATTGATTGACCAGTAAGACGGGTTATGGGATCAACACCTTCTTTTTTCCCTGCTTCATACACAGTGGAAGATGGTCCAAACCAATACTGTTGCAGACATCCTCCTTTCAAGTGGCACCTGAGCGGTCCTCGCGGGATTTTCGTTGGAGCGGTGGCAAGGCCGCTGGTCATGTGGCGAGGCCGCTGGGTTCCTGGCCGCGGTGGGGAAGGAGAGGGTGTTGATGGACACGAGGAATAATAACGGCGCCTTAGGACCTCATCTCGCCTGAACCAGTTGGAATCTCCTCACTGGCAGACAGTGAAGTCACAAAATTCCTTGCTGTTGTTTGCAGGACGACGTTCTTCTTGACCTGAATGGCACTTCAGCCGCCAAGGACCGTGGATCTATGGGCTATGCAATCCGATTGCAATTGCTTCAGCGCTTGATTGATCGACGCCATACTGCAACCTACCTTTCCGAATCGAATCGACACCGTGCCTGAAGAGGGTGGATCAGATGCAAATGACGAGAGGCGCCGAGTTAAAATAGTTGTGGAGTACTTGGAGTAGCTGGCCCGAAGAGGTTGTTTTGCGGGTAAAGGTAGCTGAACTGTTCAGTCTAAATTGTGTCATGGATACTGTGGGAACAGGCTCGGAATGAGCCAAGGATAACTTAATGTCAAAAGCTCCGAACAGAGAGGTTGTACCAGACTGGTCAGCCTGGATGATCCCTTACAACTCTGCTAGATGCGTGCGGCCGCTTCCATGGCGTGTGGCCAACACACGGTGGCCCCGCAGGTGCGGCCCTTGCGGATCGCCCCGTGCTGAGCACCGCGTTGACAGCCCGTTTCGGAACGGACGTGCACCATGCCCGGTGGAACACAGGGTCAGACAGTAACAAGTGCCACGCTAGTAGTAACAGGTGCCTTACTAGTAGTAACAAGAAGCTATTAGAAACAAGAAGCTAGTAGTCAGCACCACATCTTGGGGCCCAGCTTGAGGAGATTCGGACTGATCATTGCTGTTTTGGGCTTAGCAGGTGACTGTTTTCTCATGCCATGGGCCTCACGCATCTCCACTGGCGGTTGATCTTGGAGTGTTTGCCTGTTGAGGAGGCCTTTGGGGCGGCCAGGGTGTGTCGAAACCTCTGCTTTGCCCAGGAACAGCTTGATGCCAGGGCCTATGTGAAAGAAATTCGGCCCTCCACCTGGCTCGGCTGGATTTATTCCGAGCCAATGGGCCAGAGCTTTTGGCGCCAGCTGCTGCGTGAGTGGCACCTGTGCTTGAAAACTTCGGCTTTGCAAGTGGCCTTTGTTAATGGCCATGGGCATGTGATCGCTGTCGAGGAAAACACCGCTTTGGCATCGCCCCCACAGCGGGGAGATCCCTTTCCGATCGATTGGGACGATGAGTTGTATTTCTGCTCCATTGAGCCCTTCGATCTGGAGGCGATCTGGTGGCTCGTTGGCAGTTCTGCTCTCCAAGACCCAGTGCAGACACCAACTACGGGGGCATCGACTGAACCAAGATGAGTCTAAGTCCCGTGTGTGCTGCTTTAAGACCCACTTATCGGGTATTTCTTCTGGAGGGGTGTGCCAGTGTACCACGATGGTCCACCGTCTATTCTCAACCATCCATGTTCCAGCTTTAGGCCTACCACTAAGATCCACTAAGTATACTGGACCTCGTATATATATATATATATAGATGACCTAGCAAAGTGACAGCTTGTATGTACGCTGAGTTTGAATGAATCTCAATCTCCACAAGGACTTTCCACTTGGCCCATGACAAGTGGCCACGGGGCCTTGTCCATTTGAGGATCTCAACCAGCTTCTCAGGACTAGACGTCGTAGGCTTAAGGCTTGGGAGCCTTTTCAAACCATCCCAAGGCCCGAAAGCCTGTTCGTAGCAGGAGTTCACGTTGTGAATCTTCGTCTACAACGTATCTCAGCCCTGCTCTCGATGTTTTGGGCTCAAGGCGCTAAGGCCAGGTCCTCCAGAAGGCCAAACAGAGGACTGTGCCGGAGGGGCCCGGATGGGCTTTTGCACAGTCTTCGTCGCCTCCATTTTCATATTTGTACCTGCCTTACGACTCGATGGAGAGGCAGGGATTCTTAAGCTGGTCATCAACTCGAACCGGAAGTACCAGAAGCCCTTGAACACACTCTTTGAGTCGTTGAAGGCCGTGCAGTTTCGCAATTGGGCAGATGTGGTGGTCGTGATCGGCGGATCAGACGAGAACAAGATCTACTCTGTCAACAACATCACCTACATCGAGACTCCTTTGATGAACTTCGACCTCACTGGATTGGCTATGCTTTATCGCTATCGAACCCACCCTTTGGTCCATGCTAGTTCCTACATGTGTCTGGATTCGCAAACAACCGACTTTGCACAATGCTTCATCCCAAATGGCAGTAAACGTGGCATATTCTCCCTACTTGCGACTGGTTATGGATGGTTATTGTAGGAACCCACCAAATATTTGGGCCCAAGTATTCAGAACTAGATTATACATATTATACTATAGATTGTTTCACGAGGATGGTTTCGCTTTGTCAATATTGCTAGATTTTTCGGCAGCTTGACTCTGATTGACCTAACTGCGGTTGCCAACAGAAGCTCTAGGCGGGCATCCTAGAATAGACACATGGAGATCATAGAGTAGAAAAGTATTATTCAGCAGCATCGAACATTGGGAGCGTTTTGCATAATTAAAGGCAATTTATGGTACGTAATTTCATGTATGTAATTTCTCATATCTCGATTTCTTCCCATCAATCCAGGAAACACAACCAACAACACACTTCTTAGCTCTAGCTACTGCAGCCACTTGACATGATCCCATTTCTGCCTCCAGACTCCAGCCGATGTCCCAGGTACATCTTGGACACCAGCACCGTGGGCCCGACCTTTCCACAGCGCTTCGCACAGCTCGCGGAACACTTCGCACAAAGCGCGACGGAGACGTCGCGCGCGGAGCTGGCGGAGCTGCTGGTACCGCCAGCGCCGGCGTCCAACGTGTGTGTTTTCGGGCATGGCCTGGTGGAACGGTATCGCAGGACGGAGAGGTGCAGAAGATGTAAGTCGTATGTGGCATTCCATTGCACAACCGTGTTCTTGTTTTTAGTTTTGCACGGTTGTGCGCAGTATGTTCAGGTCAGGACCTGGTGTTATCCATTGAACACACCAGCACCTACGGACTGCCTTGTCCAGATACCCGGCCTTCTGATCCTTATACTTATACGGATATGTGGTATCCATTTGGATCTATCCTATTATATACCTGTAACAGTGGATGATGATGGTTAGTTAGGGCCTTGTCCAAAAATGGTTTATAATAATTGTTCACTGACAGTTACAGGCAAGAACGGACAGACCCAATGGATACCACCAGACAGTCCCTGAGACCTGTGCATGGGAATCCCACAAACTGTGCTGTTGTGGATTCTCTCCATCGCCGATGTCAATCATCATTCGTAGCTGACAGAACACCTAATATATAGCTCAACTTGTTGCAGCAACAGATCCATGACCAAACGGAGCCCATGATGGAGCCTCAGAGCTCCAGGAATTTCGAGATCGTCTTGTCCAAACGCGAGGGCTTGGACTTCGAGGCGGGTTATTCGGTGAAGGGACTGCGGCAGTTGAAGGACTTCGCCGACCAGATCACCGAGATGAAGGAATGAACTGAGGTGTGGTTACGGTTTGGGGGGCGTGGAATAGGTGACGGTGGTCCGGGTGGCCCAAACAAGTACAAGACCTCCGGGCGATTTCAAGGGGACATAAAACATAGATGATTGACTCGACATAGAGAGATTTGCAGCAGAATACCTTGAGGAGGTACGCGGATCCGATGTTTTGCTCGCGCAGAACTACCAATTGACACGGATCAGATTGGTTTTCTTGGGCCAGTCCGTTCCGCCCACGTTCACGCCGTTCGTTCGTTCACCACGCTGGCATCATCGCGTGCATCTCATCAGGTGGGCGAAGTGGACATTTATGGCACGGGTTATGGGCGATGGGCCTTTTGGTATCCTGACTTGGAGCCCTGACATAACCGCGACCGAAAACGGTGCATTCGGCCCGGCGGGCAGGAGAAAACACCCATGAACATGGCTTGTTGGTGTCACGAACACGGGAAAATGGTTTGCGCATGTGGCGCCTGCTCAAAGGTGGAAGTTTTCCAGGCCACCAATGACCATCAATGACGAGTTCCAACATTCCTCACAAACCTCACCCAGCCCCAAGTGCTGACTCCGCGAAGCCAATGTGTAAGGATCTCTTCAAATACATCCTTTGGGATCGAAGCGGCGACATCTCCGGAGAGGTCGAAGATTTGCAGCCTGCCTGGAAGCGACTTTGGAACTTCATCCAGCTGAGGGGCTGAGTTCCCTCTGAAATTCGAAGAAGTGAGTGACCTCAGGGAAACCGGTGGGTGCTGTGAACCAGCAACAACCCAAAGCAACCAAGCAAGTTGGCGAGTGAATCAGTCCAACCACCTACAAAGAGAGTTGGTGAGTCGGTCGAGAAGAAGGCTCCAAAAAGTTTCAGGCTGTCAATAGCTTCCAGAACTGGAGCTGCAATTAAGCCCTGTATGCTTGGAACCTTTGGCTCCCTGACACCAGACCAACGGCGCAAAAGACGCAACGGCTTGCGCAGTTGCACGTCAGGTGGGGCTTCTGTCAATGGAGGGTGTTTGTCAGGCACCTAGACCCCAAACTACTCAACCATCAATTGAATTGTATAACCAATTGTATAACCCCATCATACTTGTATAACCAATGTTAATCATAATTTCCTTCTGACCAGTCTCAGAAAGAACTTCCTGATTCCTTCCGAAATATCGACATCCCCTGCCTGGGACGATCGACGTTCGCCTGGGCCACTCCGACACTTCCCTGATCCAAACCCGAACGAAGCCCCCTGTGCAGCTGTCCCAGCTTCCACTGCTTGTATATGCCTGTATACTGATGTATATAGATGGCGAAATGGGCACAGGGGTTTGCCGCTTCTATCACATACAGGTGCGGGACTCTACGACCCTGTTAGCAGTCAGGTGAATACCACTTCCTGCTCCAATGCTCAGGTGAATGCTCCTCATCTCAAAGCATACTGTAGCTCTGTAGCCAAATTATTCTAGCCATTTGTCGCCTAAAATCCCAGGTGGCACTTCCTAGAGCCGCAGCTCTTCGAATGGGACGAGCACGGTCTGGAGCCGGTGCCAGGTTACAAGGGCGACCTATCAGTCCCCAGGAGACTATTGGATGATGCCTGGATGAGAGTAGTATTGTAGTTGGTGCCCCTACTGGTACTGTTGTGAGTGCTGAAAGAGTCATCAAGAAGACGGGGCCTGATCACCATCCCTCGAACCACCCATTTCTGCCAATGAATAAGGCGTAGGTGCTGGTTGTGCAGCTGGTGGGGGGCACTGGCTGGCTGGTGCCTGACAGCGCGAGATTTTGGCTAACGAATCATCTTCAATCCTGGTAAATACGGCAATCCACAACAACTCAATTCTCAACATTCTGGGTTCTATGTTTAAATCGTTTTCCCCTGGAAACACACGTGGTTCCTTCACATATGCCTCTCACATGTTTGCCCTTCAGCACTGCGCTGAGGAAACCATCGCAGTGCTGGCGCTGAACGCCGCATGGTTTTGGTTGAGCTATTGGATCCGACAGCCCCTGGGACTTAGAAAAATCAGAAGACATCAGAAAACAAATCGGTTTCCTAGTAGCTTCTTGTTCCTAGTAGTAATGCCAGGAGCAAGGCAAAACGCCAGTGGATGATCTCGGGGGCCTCATAGAAAGTCCCTTGCTAGCATTGGCTAGCCATGCTGTCGTGCTTTGCAAGCAGAACCCCGCCGTCCAATCAGAAGAACACTGCGTTGGTTCAGACTCTCACGTTCTTGGCCGGTTTGGTCGGTCGCCATGTCTCTCATAAGTGTTCTTCATTTTGGCGAATCAGTGAAGTGTGAGATTTGGGTTGAGTTTGGTGATCAACCCACCAATCGATGTATAAAAAAACCCAACCAACCTACTTGCCCAGTGTGTTCGCCAACAATCTTGCAGTCAAGAGTGGTCGAGTAGGGTCAAACTGGTTGTGCCCATGCTGCATGTAATTAACATTAATTGATATTGAACATATAAATGCATGTTTAGCAGTTTCATGCAGCTTCGTCGTCCCATTTGTGGAATCCCGGGCACCTCCGTTTTCACTTGGGCTGCCAAGGCTCCAAGCCATTTTGCTCCTTCGTGATGGCCGGTTCTTGCTCATTGGTTGCCTGGCACGGGAGGTCGCCGTGGAGCATCAAGTTGCCGTGAACATCGGTGATATCTGAGAATCGCTTATCGTAAATACGTGTGCGTCAAGGAAGTTTGGTAAAGTCACCCTGAATGGCGACAGATGTTGGCAGTTGATTAAATAATGGTCTTTAATGATAATGGTTTTTACTATAGTTTTTACGATGGTTGTACATCTCCAGATGGCTCGCTTTAACCGTCGTTATTGAGAATCGATCGAAAGAAAGAAACGCACGGACTCGGTTCCACCAAAGAAACGCAGCTCCTGTTGGTAGATCGCATGTTTTCAAGTCAAGGCTTTTTGCTTTGGCACGAACAATGTGACTATCATTGGGATGATGAACCTATTGTTAATTAAATCCTTTGTTTGGCAGGCTGCCAGGACTTGTTCTGTTTTGCGCCACTTCATCTCCTCCCCAGACCAAAGCGCTCAGGCACATCGGAGGACCAAGCCTCCATCCAATCTCAGGCCGAGAAGCCCACCCAGGTCGTGGTGGAAGTCACCAACACATGGATACTTGATGATACTTGTACCATTTTGTACCTAGATCATCCAGATTTTCGGAGAGAGGCTGCTCTGTTTGTGTGACTGGATGCCAACTACAGTGAGTGTCATGTTTGATCGACTGCCTTGGGATGTGGGTCGGACGGCTGGAGTGGAAAATATTCCAAGCACGGCCAACCATCCTCAGTTCTCAGATTCTTGCGGTTTGCCCTCAGCCTCCAACACTGCAAAATCAACCAAATTATTATATACGTGGTGATCACTGTTTGATTGTCATCTCTTTCTGGGGGGAATATGTTTTGCAGGGACCCCTGTAGCAGAAACTCCTCAATCCCCGTCCGTGGTGATCGCCAGGTCACGGTCCGCGCGTGCCGAGTCTTCGTGGCCGACTCGCTGGGTGCACTGGTGGCCTATGCACAGGATGACCGAAGCCGTGAGATCCTCCGGACGCAGCTGCCAGGCGTGGGCCGGGGAGGAATGAAAGAGAGTGGCGAAACCCATCGGAGGATCCAACCTCATCCAATCCAACCTCATTTTTCTGGGAGAAGTCACCGTCACCAACCTCATCCATACTCAATGCAATGAGATGCGGCAACGGGCAACGCCTTTGGGACTGGGCACTGCTGTGCTTGCTTCGCTGATGCGTCGTTTCGCTCGTGTTTCGCCAGTCTGAGGCTCTTCTTCGCTGTCGGCGACGGCCGACTTCTCGCTGAGACGAGTGAAGATGCCGCGGGTGACGGTGGATCGTTGGTCCGAGTTCTCGCGATTTCAAGACATCTTCGGCGATTGGCGGAAGCCCTACGCGCCAGCGAAGACGCCAGCGAAGGCCCCGAGGCCCAAGGGCGTCTTGTACAGCAACTGGGCTGCCCTGACGGACGTGAGATGGCAGATGGCGGTCTTCCATGGATTTTCCAACAGTTTACGGTAAATGACCGTGAATGACCTAACAATTGAAAACGCATCATTCATGAGCCTACTGTAGTGGCACCGCTTGCACTGAAACAAACTCAAAGACAGACAGACTAGAGAACAGGCAATGACCATCCACCTGGACCTAGCTGAGGCTATCGGCCTACAGCTGCGAAGCCAACCGAGCAACAACTCCGGAATGGCATGCGGTGTCGTGTCCGGCGTGAGGGCGAGGCCTTGGTCTGGAAGAGGTGCAGATGCGAGGGCTGGGACATCGGACCGGTGGCGCCTGAGTTGGAGCGAGAATACGTGGAACAGGCGAAGAGAGAGGGGAAGCCGGGGACTTGTGCAATGTTTCTATATGTTTCTGATTTTTCCTTGGTGGTGGGATTTTATACTGTAGGTGATATGTGTAGGTGTTTATGCAGCAATTGTCAGCATGACTATCGGCTACTTCAAAGATGTTTCAAGTAATTATGCTCTTCGTGTACTTCCAACGTTGTACGCGTTTTTATTGTTTGTTCCTTTTGCTACTGTAGCGCGCTGAGTTGACTTTGATTCACCCGAAGGCATGGCGGGAAGACAGGAGATGGAGGAGTGTCTCTGTTCTCTCGCTCCGAAGGGATTCGTACTACAGCGCGGTGGTCTCACAGGTGATTAGCCCGACCGACTTTTGATTTGAGCATTGCAGGACTCACATTGAGACGGTTTTGGGAAGGTATGGCCTGAGACGTTTTATCACCAACGCATCATGTATCGCAAAGGACATCCACTTTAGGGGTTCGTTCTCTTTGTGAGTCCTTGCATGAAAATGCGTTTTGCCTGTGTTTTCTCTTTGATTGTAGATGTTGGAGCCTTTGTATCCCCTTTGGTCTTTTGGATAGACCCTGAGTTCTATTAGGTAGTTGCAATGTCCATGACAGGCTTGTGGCAGAGACTGGCTCCCGCTGAGGTGGTTGACATCCAGTACACAAATCCAACTGAATGGGAGGACCTTACCACCGAAAAGTTGATCGACCTGGATGTGGACATCGGGCGCATCAGAGTGCCGTGACGGTTGATGGCGGGTCGATTTTGTTGTTTATTTTGCTCCGCTGTGCCCCCCCAGTTCCTCAAAGAAGTCATACACTGCAACGCAGGACCATGGAATCAGAATTTGAATTCCCGGAATTGTTCGATTTGTCATTTTCATAACACAAGTTACAAGGGAGGCCACTGGCGTTAGTCAGGAGCTGAACAATTTTGAGACATCCAAGGTTAAAGAGACATGGGCCTTCATTTGGCCTAGTAGTGGAGCCTGGTTGGAAGCGGGTTTTGGACTCACTGTGCTGAAACAGTTTGTTTAGATGGATTCATCCAAGGTGCTGCCTTCCAACAGTGGCTCTGCTGATGGGTCTCGATGGGTCAGCACAGTCGGGTCCATCGGGTCCATCGGGTCCATCGCGCCGTTTTCGTGCTCGTCCTCCCCTGCGAGATTCCATGAGTCAGGGGCAGTGGGACCTGTTCGAATCCCTTTTTCGCTTGCGGACAGGCCTTTCTTTCTCTTCCGTTCATGCCCCAAGCAGTAGGTTGTGCAATATTCAGAGACCAGGGATTTATATATATATAATTATATATAAATGATATTATATAAATGATCATACATTAAATTACTTAAAATATATAACACATTTCGAGTATTGCCTAACGCTATATTAGCAACTGCCAAAACCTCCGATGAAGGCAGCATCACTACAGTGAATACTAAGTAAGTAAAGTGAAGGAACGATAAGGTCACAAAAAAGATAAGGTTTTAGTACGTGTTGCTAGGTGTGTCCAAACCCTCAGGAACGATGAGGTTCACAGAAAAACAATAACGTTGGGAAGAGTGCGCACTACAACGCATAAGAGGTTTTGCACGTCGCTCATATATATATATATATATGGTACCCCCCCCAAAACCAGCACTTTCATGCAAATAGGGGAGGTGGGGGGTACCAACAAATCTGAATCTGCAATGTGCATGTGGCGTTTGATCAAAATGCTAAATGAACATCTTCCTACATCTGATCAAATATATATGTTTAATATAAACTATATACTAGTGGTATAATTTTTTGTTTTTTTGAGCCTGCCAGCATTTTTGCAAGGTGGGGTAGACCAAAAATTGAAAAAACACTGACAGGCTCAAAAAAATCAAAAATGTCAAAAGGCCATAGTCACAAAACCCTGGCAGGCTCAAAAAAAATTAAAAAAAGAAACAAACGTTTTAGAATCTATGGGGGCTCTGGGGGGGGTGTAATTTTTTTTTTGATTTCATTGAGCAATACGGCCCTCGAAGCCATCACAGCAACACCCAACTGCGATGGATCACAAAGCAACTCATCTCTGAGGATTCTCCCATCAAAGACTGGCCCGAGAGATTGATCAAAGAAGCTCTGAGGAACCTCATGACCGATGGAGTCTTAGCTTTGCCCGTGCATGGCTTCCCCCTGACACTTGTGGATGTGAACCCTTCTGTCCTCTTCATCTAGTTCTTCCCTCTTTTCAGGGACAAAGCACTTTTGGCATGCATGGTGATCCCAATGTGGGAAAGACTCCACTTGGAAGGATTGTCGCAATGGCCATGTCCCGGTACTGGGTGCGGAAGGATCTGCAAGGCAAAATGAGCTGTTTTGCCAATGCATCCAAAGGCTTCATCTGTTGTACATCTGCTTGGCCATCAAGAACAAATCTGCTTTCAATACATCTGCTTTATCATCAAGGACAACTCTCACACACAAGCAAGAAATTTTGTCTGAAAACGTTGGTTTTTTGGGGGGTAGCATCATGTAGCATCTCTCTCTCTATATTATATATATGTAGTTTCTTGCATCCATGGTAAATCAACGGCAATCTCATGAAGAATGGATGCGTGCTTGTCCGGGTTTGGGTGGCCGCATTATGCAAGTGGCACTTGCAGCCCAGATCAACTTATTTATCAATGATTCAAGTTTTAGGATGGGTGCTACTGCTGCCGGAGCTTAAAGCGATGCTGATCCGGTACAGGATGTCACCATTTTTTGCATGCTTTTCCGGGTTCACCAGCTCTCCTCTTCGGCCAGCCGCGGCCGGCCTCTTCACTGCCAAGGCTGGTACAGGTCCTTCCTCGAGGTCTGGGTGCCCTTTCCGGGAGGTCACTGCGGTACCCGCGACTTTGGACCGACCTCCCCACAGCGAACCTCGCGGAACGGCGCCACGGCGAGGGCACCACCGGAGTCACCGGGGCCGGACACGGAGTGCACCGACACGGAGTCGGTGGGGAACCCGACCGACGGCAGCTTGAAACTCGCTGACTCATGGCGTTGCAACTGGATTTTCCGTGAAATGGGTTGACTACATCCAGATTCTTTAAAAGAGATGGGGGGGAGATGAGCGGGGGGTAGGATTGCAACATCTTATTTACTGTGTTAGTATGTAGATATATTAGACTGGAGCCATCCAGGCTCACTTCTTTCACAGTCGCATGTTTTTCCCCAGAAGTCCTCGACTCCACCACAGAATCCGAGGAAGTCTTCGCGGATTCTTTGGAAGCGCACATCTTCAGATGTAAGACACTCTCAGAAGAGAAACTTGGCATTTGTCTCATTTTGCCCCATCCTGTCTCATGTTTCGTGAACCTCTTTGTGGGTGGGAGCGGATCAACCCTGGAACTGAAATCCAACGGATGGTGGGCTGCCCCCCAAAAAACTTCCGGAGTCACCTGACGCAAACTCCCCACATCTAGCGGAAATAGAATCACAATTAATTTGGCTTTCATAAAATCACAATCCCACGTACCGGTTCTACACGGAGACCCGCGGTTTTGGCACTGATGATACGACCACGGGGAAGATGCACGGGGGGTACAGACAATTCACGACCTCTACGCGGATTGATGATTGATGATTTCATATGATTTCCTTGACCCGACGATCTGGCATCATCGTCATCGGGGTGTGCACCGTGCCGACTCTTCCCAAAAGGAACATCGCTCACACTGCCAAACCTTGAGGAAATCATAATATAGGGTTGGAACGGTAGGTCCTCTTCAACTTGGGTGAGAACTTCTACCCTTTTCCACCCCTTCATACAAATGCGATGGTCACTGTGTTCAAGGAGGTCTATTGGGGTGAGCACAACATACCAACTCGACTATGAACATGCCATGTTTCAAGCTCCTATTTAGAAGTTATCCAACGGAAAATTAATTCATACCACTTACTCGTTAATATATGCTGAGACATTGCCAGCACAACCAAAAAAACCTTCACACTTAAATGCGTTATATAATTGGTTACTTATGTGTCATGCTTTCCCTCGTGCAGCATGGTGTTTGCGGATGTTTTGTCCAAGAGTCATCACCGAGCAGACGGAGCCAGGAAGACGATGCTCGAGGAGGAGCGAGATGCCATTGAACAACTCCATGAAGTGAGGGCCTCACCCCGAGGCAAAGACATGGCCTTGGCGAAGAGGCCCGGCGAGTCAGGGGAGCTGAATTCAAAAGCAACGGGTAATATCGGGTAATTAAGGTTATTGTTTGGATGGATCAGCTCAAGAGACGGTAGACCAAAAAGATGTTGCTTTGTTGTGGTCTCTCTCTCTCTGTGTTGAGTAAGCAGGCCCTCCAACCAATAGATGTTTGATGGTTTTGCATTCAACTACGCACAATATGCATAATAGATAGATAATAGATAGATAGACAGACAGACAATAGATAGATAGTTAGATAGATAGATGGATTAGATCACTCCTACTTGCCCGGGCAATGTCTTGTCCATTGCCTTTTAAAGCTTTGGGACGGCGCACCTCCCCTCTGTTCACCTTTGGTTTTACCATGTTTTACCCCCCTTCACTTGGGCCTGTTTGTCAAAACGTTGGTCTTGTGGAGGCTCGGTTTCTGTTTGCCTTGCAATTGCCTCAGGCAAGTTGCAAACTGTTGAATTCCCACTGCCGCAGATAGGGTTGTTGAATGTCTAGAGGCCTAAATTTAACCCCTGGCTATGGTAGTTACTAGTTGGCAGATTTGGAAGGGGGCGACAGATTTACTCGGCCACAGCGTCAACGTTTGTTGCGCAGACCCAGGCTCTTCCTGCAACTTTTGCGCACGCCCTTCTGGATGAAGTGGACCGGCCCTCTGCAGGGGGAGAGCCCCGCAAGAGTGAGGAGAGTCTCGCCGAGGGCCGGGGTGCGCCTCGGCGACATGTGCTGACGCGCAGCATCGTGCAGCTCAAGGCATTGTGAGCGGAATGAGTCCACGTGCACATGTATAGTTAGTATGAGGCTTCTTTGTCTCATAGTGTTCACAGGCATTTTGCAATGCATAATTAAAGTTGAACAAGTTCTGCTTGACGCTAATTCTTTTCAGCATTGTTGTTTCGGGGTGTTGCTGGCTGGTGCAGGTTCGGGTGGTTTTCTTGAAGTAGAACATGTATAGTAACATGTATAGTGAACGTTATAACATATATATATATTAAATATATAGTTTACATATTTATGTGTGTATATATATACACACTATATAACTACTGCATATGTACACAATGAATGCTTTCAAACGCTCAAACAGCAATCGCTTGTGGTCCGTGCGATATTTTTTGGCCGGATGACTGAGGTTCTTCGAGCGCTTGGAAATTGCTTGATTGTTTGAAACGCTTGGTTTATAGGTTCAGGTTCGCTGGCAGACGTGTTGTACATAGTGGCAGCGGATAGCTCATCCAAGATGGGTAGATCTATACGCTCCAATCCGCTGGACAGGAAGCGAGTCCTCGGCCGCGAAACATGTTAGGCTGAAAGGTCTGTGGAGATGGGGCAAGTGACTGAGGGCCTTACTTTTTGCCAGCATAATGAATCTATCAGGATTAATGACATTTAAGAACACATAGTGTGGCGTGGAGTATGTTTGGGGTAGCATGTTGGCGCTTGAGCGTGTCCAGCTCCGACAAATGTTTGGGATTGCTTGCACTGCCAAGGCGATTAACTCGGCAAGCTGCAGATGTGTTGGCATAGCCAGGCTGCGGACTGAGCCGAGAGAGACAGAAATCAAGTATGGTGGACGTGGCCCCAGTGGAATCAAATCATCACCTGGATTTGTGTGAGGTGCTTCACACATCGGATTATGCAGTGTGTGTGTGTGTTTTTTAATGTTCAAGCTATAATTGCTTTTTTTTTTTTGTATAGATCTATTTAGATGTCATTATGTTTCTATTTGTTGATGGGCAATGCACTTATTGACCATGGGGGCTCGCAGGTCATGTTGGGGTGTTGAGCCAGGGGGGAAACCAAGTTGGCTGGCCGACATCGGCATGACTGACCGTTCGCTTCTGAGAAACCAACGCAAAATCCATGTGCGCTTTGGTGCGTAAATAAGATACAGGTGTGCTTGGTGATCCTGGGGCACAAGTCTTTGGGATGAATGGCACCACATTTCTTTGCCAGCTGGCGCCATTGGCTCTTTCGGTACCCGTCCTTGAAAATGGACAAAGCCTGAAAAGGTGCGACACAGAAAGACACCGCAGCTGCTGGACCTTCAGATAACCAGGTAACCACCTATAGATTCTCAGATTAAGAACTTTCCAAGAATGTTTGACGAAGAAACCAGAACACGTGAGCCAGCCCAGGATCCCTAAGAGGCCCAATAGATAGAATAGGCACGAATCGGCAACGAAGGCATTCTTAGAGGGACATTTATGTTTGTTCTATTTTCGTGTCACTGTCATTACGGCCTGTTTACAAACCCTGCCCTTAGTATCTAGTTGGTATACCAGCAGATGTGTTTCTTTTTCTCCAGGCATCTTCCCCTCTTCGTTGCCTGGCAGAGAAGCATCCTCCTTTTTTCCGGGTGATTCCTGGCACACGAATCCGCCTCCCATGGGCTCCCCGGCACGTGCGCTGAAGCCCGAGCGAAGTGGGTCACTTCGCTCGGGGCCGTGCGTGGACTCCATTCCTTGTGTGCTGCTGGTCTTCTCCGTGGTCGCTGGGGCGAAATGCGCTGGAAATGGTGGCAAATGTTGTTGGGAATGTGGTGATAGGGTTAAGATTGGCATGCTATGTCTCAAAAGTGACGATGGAGGGGTTCGTGGACCTTCATGAAGTGGGGTTGGACCCAGTGTGAATATATACGTCGCTAAATAGGAAAGGCGGGACATATCATCACAACTCCGATGTCAGCAGGCCAAAAGGGTATAGAAACAGACCTGGTAGCTGGATTTATGCTGCACAAGTGTTTGAGTTTTGTTGATTTCGAGATATTGAACCGCAAGTGACATACCAGGAGCCCGGCAGGTATGTCAAACCTTTAAGGAGTCCACATGTGGCAGAAGGTCCACTACTTCCGTGCCATCCTCCTGTGCTGCTGCAAACTTGACAACGCTACCCGAAATACCCCCACGCAAACTAACATGGAACCTGAGAATTGACCGGTGGAAGACTATTTTCCTCTACAACTCGGTGGTTTTGGGGGTCCATGTTGATCTGCAGGGGAGTATTTGAATGTTTTGGTCATGGGCACCGGACCGCAGATTTAAAGTGACGTCTCGTTTGATGGCTGAACACCTACGAACGCCCCTGGAGCAAATGCTGCCGTTCTTTTAGGGGTTTCTTTTGCCATCCGTTTCTTTGACACTACCCGAACGCACTGTGAGGTTGGCACCCAGCACATCCTCCAAAGCTTCAGTTTGTTGGTCTTGGCGCTGTCAGGGGCTTTGGGCATTGCCATCGTAGTGGCCGTCCCCAAGGCAGACTCTTCAAAGAAGGGGTGTCCCATGGTATGCCATGGTGTCCATTTTGTCCTTTTGTTTGTGTTCATTTTTTTTCGGGCTCCCGCATGCCTTTCGAAATTCGAGGTGCTGTTTTGTTTTCCCCCTTTGAATAGGGGTTCTTTTCCATGGCTTGTTGGACTTGAGTTGGAGGTCTGTCAGACTCCTGCCATAGTCCCCGGGCTGCCTATTGTTTCGCAAGTGTTGCACGTCGTACTTCTTAGGGCCGGGATTTCACACAATCCAATTTTAGACTCTAGACTCTAGACCACAAAATCAGTAAGCTCCAAGATCCCTTTGTGTTTATTCTGGGCGACCTGGCCGCAATCACAAACCATCATCTGTGGTGAGACCCGACGCATCCACTCACAAACTGAATGGTATGGCCCCGTTCACAGGTCATGCTTTCATGTCAGCCAGCGGGAGGGCACCTTTTTGGCAACGGTCCTACGTCCTTGGCTCGACAAGTAAGATACGGGCAAGCAAGGAAGAATTCATTTCTCATTAGCTTGGATCTTACTTGGGTGAAAACTCATCAACATGTTTGTCATGTTAATGTATTTTTCTTGGACCCATGTGTGGTCCAGGTGTGGGCCAAAATGTGTGTGATTGGCACGGTTGTTCAAGATGTCCGATGTTCCATTTGGCTAGGGTGTGCTGAAGTGGCTCACTACAATCTTGACCGCCAGCTTCTTGATTCTGGCATCTTATGTCGACACTCTGGAGAGGGTCGCAAGTGTCGCAGCCATGCTATGTGAGATACCCATGCACCCAAACATTCCCTTCAACCTAATTGCGTTGCAGTGCAGCTAAGCCGGTAGCAGAAACCGTTGTGACATAAGCAACGAAGATGTAAGGTTGAAACTGTTGAAACTGCACAGCCTTGATCATATCAAATGTCCTAGCAGGATGGAACATGAACGAGAGAGAGAGAGAGACAGAGATTGGGAGAGTATGTGTAGCTGTTTATTCACACCCGCCAGATTCCAACATGATGTCCATCGATATCCTGGTTCACAGACCCGCTGGAGCTGGTGTGGGTGATTGTCCCACCCCGCGAGGACAAGCCGTGGGAGCCACCTCCTGCACCCACCAACGGTGCCGCGCACACAGCCAGCGTTGAAAGGGTAAAGAGAGGGTACGATCAGGCAGGGTCAAGGGTGAGCGAGATGGGCTTTCTATTATAATACAATATACAAATATATATATATATATGTGTGTGTATTATATGTGTGTATACATATACATACACACACACACACATATATATATATACATACATATATATAATACATTTGTGTGTGTGTGTCTCAACAATGAGCTTCGTCCGGCTTTCCTTAGTTTTTTCCGATGCCTTGAAAACGTTCAATTATTTATCATCACGTTCAAGGCATAAGGCTTGTGGCCATTTGTGAACTAATTTGGCGACCACAGATTTGTTTGCACTTTGGGTTCCCAAGCTGTGGAGCAAGATTCAATACAACGGTGGATGTGAACCTGCTCTTGGGAGGACGCGTTTAGGACCTCCAACTCGGTCCAACTCGGGAACTAGGCCTAGGCAAGACAAGATATAGGATGCAAAACACATGCAAGATGTTGGATAACAATGAATGACAACTCCAGATTCAACGGCTCCTTCCAAATTGCGCCGTGGGAGTCTGTTCCAGACCACCTCTCTTGGTCACGTCGCCCAACACTGAAAAACTAATCACCTGTGATGTCATTCACCACTTGCATGTGGTCTATGTGCCTGATAAATCCCAGCTGAACACAGGATGCGCGGCCATGGCTTGGTGAGACGCTCAGCGTGGTTCTCCCCTGTGCCTTTGAGGGAGAGTACGCCTCACGCACCGTGGAGTCAGCTTCTTGGCCTAGGGTAATCGAACGACCGCATGCCATCGCATGCTTGGTGAAACAGGGTTCAGAAGCTCTAAGGATGGAAGAGAAAGATGGACATGTTCCGAACATGAAAGGACAACAGATGATGGATGATGATGGATGATTTATGGTCGTCGCAATGACGATGGTTGATTATTCATGGATGATGATGACGACGACGACGAGGATGATGATTTGATGTCTTTTAAACAGGAGACCGGCCATGTATGAATCGTTTATTTGGAGGGGCCTTCGTGACCTGAGCTGGGGTGTACTGGAGCGAAGTCCATCCCATTGAGCCTTGGATACCGAGGCTTACCCCTCCCACAAAAGGGTGATGTGATGTTGAAGGTTTCGAGGGGAAGGGTGTTGAACAGGACCGAGTGATAGACATGTTGAGTTCGTCGCGTCGATTCGATTGATTATATATTTAATTAAAGATGCAAGCTTTAAGGCCAACGTGCCAAGTATCCCTATTGAGTGGCTGAGATTGAGATTAAGTCTAGTTCTTCAAAGGGGAAGGTGGCCATGGCCTACACTTAGATCCAGCATTTTGTGCTGCGCCTAAGGTCTGGAAACATACAAAGAAGAATCGCTTGAAGGAGATCATTGTGGTGGATGAACCTGGTCTGGTCTTGTTTCGATCACACCATATTACACCGGTGTAATCGTTTCTGTCGAGGGGCCTTCCGTGCACCATGGCCATGAAGGGGCGGGCTGACTGGGAAATGCCCGTGCTGCAGAAAGAAGTTGTGTCATTGCATGGCTCACTTACTGAGTGGACACATGCAATGAGTGGATTTGTATTGCGAGTGGATGTGAGCCAAGGATGGCAGCTCACCAAAGCTTCCAGCACTTGGTTCAGCATTTTTTATTTTTGCTTGCTTTCACTGTGCTGTGAGATGGCCAAGTCCGCTAGCTAGCCGCCAGCAGCTAGCACCGGGTTCCTGTATTGTTCTTTAAACTTTAAACCTAACCTTTCTCAAGTCAATGTCACAAGAGCCACTTCAGCAGCGTCACACACCCTCAAGAAAAGAGTTTTGATGAGCTGTGGGCATTGGCCCGCAAAAGCAACAACTCAGGGCACGGAAGCGATTTGGGTTTGTTGTTTCGAATGTAGTTGTGGAAGCTTTGGTGGAACACATGATCATGTTAAAGAAACAAGCTTTTTGCTGCGAAAGTGGCGAGAAAGTAAATATGTTGAAAAGGCCCGTGAAAAAAAAGAACAACACTGTTCCCAAAGGCAGCGGGAAAGCCTTTGGGCGAAAGACCCGGCTGATTCTTGTGTAACTCCACCGCAAACCATGGAACGACACAGCTCAATTCGGTTGCACATGCTCTACATTTTCCACAGAATGTACCAAGCCAACAATCTCCACGATGACCCCTTCTATTTAGTGCATACACCAAACAAAACAGGACGCTTCACGAGGATGCTTGAAAGATGATCTAAAGCTCCACTCCAGAATCCGCCCATTGAAAAATGGATTCACATTATTTGCTCAGTCCAGCATCCTTTTGAACACACACGAAGCAACGGCAGCCATATTGCTGCAGGCTTGATTTGCACTTGCCGGCGCCCCTGCACGTGACAGAAGGCTTTGATCCCCCTAGAGAGCAGCAGCTGCGCGGCAGCGTCGCTGTTCGGTTGCTGAGGAGGGGAACGGGGGCTGTTGGATGAGTTTAACATCTTGGACAATTGTTTCGCGGTCAAGCAGAGATAAAGCTTCTCTTAGAGGTAGGGGCGTTGGTCCCGTATTGTATTTTTATGTTTCCTAATGAGTTTGACTGCCAATCATTTCAGTGTCCAAGCATTTTTGGACGCAGGCACAACAAAACCTTGGGGCTCATCGCAGCCAAGAAGACGGGCGGCAACGCTGCACTGGGTGATGTGGTGGTTTTCTTCGACTGCCATGTGAAGCCCAGGGATGGCTGGGAGGAGGCAGAGGAACAATGGGCGATAGGTCAGGTTTTGCAAGATTAGCAGAACTCGAAGGTGCAACATATATACTTATATATATATAGTTATATATATATAGTTACATATATATATATATCATATATACATATACATACAGTACATAAATTATGTTTGTGTTTAAAGACAATGCTGTTTTGGTGTTGCCGGCTGTGCAATTGACAGCTAAGCTTGCGAGTTGCCAGGTGGTGCGGCAGGGTGTTCACATGTTTCGAGAAAAAGACATGTCAATGTAGGACATGGGTTGTACCTTGAATCGTTTTGAATCCTGGTATTCATATTATGTCGGACATGTGCACAGGTTTGAAGGATTTCACGGACCCTTGAGTCGAGGCCTTTCTGAAGCAGATGCACCGCGCGGGAGACCATCGCACCATGGTTGTGCCCACCATTACTGCATTGAACCCCGACACCTGGGAAGAAACTGCTGGCTCCTCCAGTCACGCCTGCTACATGACGCTTGGTGCAGACGAAGGAGCAGGAAGCAGCTGAGATGTTGGCAATTTGAAGCCTGGACAGCCCTCATACAGCCAAGAGCTGTCTGGGGACATGGTAGAATTTATCCACACATGTCCTAGCTATGGACTCCAGCCACGGTAGAAGGACCGCGAGGAAAAGTTCCTCGACCAGCCAGCTTCATTCCATCAGCGTACCGCCACAGTGTCCCCAAATGTTCCCAACCAAGGATGTGGAACGCAGACTTTACATGGTTGACGCACCCTGGGAGGGACGTACCTATCATGAGTGGAGGGCTGCTAGCTCTCAGCAAGCGTTGGTGGGAGGAAACTGGTGGCTATGATGACCCATCACTGATTTGCTCGAGAAAGTTTTTCAAATTTTTGAGCTGTTTCCCTTGTTTTCCCCAACCACCATTAAAATAGGCTATATAATATATATATATAATTAGTAAGATAAGCACCGTGCTACATATATATATATATATAGAACTTATTTATTGCTGGGAATGTCGCTGCGGCTGAGTCGGGGTGGAAAGCAGGCGAGAACAAAACAATGGGCAGTTCCCATGTTCCATGGACCTTCGATGACCTTTGGAGGTCCCAAATGCAAGTTTACCATCCTTCAAAAACATGAATATCCGGCCATTCACATGACATAGATAGACAGTCGCAGACATACTACTACTGTAACCCCCAAAATAAAAACGCTTGTTCCTCTCCTTTTTTAACCCAATGTGTTTTCCCCGATCTCAGTCGCATCCCCTCTCCCACCAGCTGAGGATCACATGATTGCTTGGGGTGGTGAAAATATTGACCAGTCACTGCGAAGTTGGTTGTGCCTGGCCTGTTTTTGTTTGTGCTTTCTTTGCCAAAGGCACTTTTCCATTATTCCTGAGACAATTATACACAGTTATATATTCAATTATACACAACTCTATGTGTACAGCATATTAAGTTACACATGCAGCCCCATGAATCATCATACATTACATTCTTCAAACACCAACCACCTACAGCCACCTTCGGCCCTCCAGGTGCGGTGGCCGCATTGAGATCGCGGAAGGGGCCTTTGTGGCGCATATGTGGCGGGACCCCAACAACCCCAAGACCAAGCTCAAGTCGCTGGAAATGCAATCGTCGGACACTTCGATTCGGTACGAGACAACGAAAGGGGCGTGAGTCGAGACAGGGAGGCCTGCATTCTATGGATATATAGTCGAAAGGAGGTCGTAAGAGCAACGCGGAGGCTCAGGAGATCTCAAGATACTTCTGCCATTCTGCCAGGGAAGTTCATGTTTGAGGGGAAATCATGGACTCACCCGCGGGCCGATCCCAGCATGTCCAAGAAGAAGCTCCAATTCGCTACAGATGCTACAGATTGGACACCTGCCGGCTTGATTTGGTTGAGGTATACCATGAATACGGAGGATGTGATGCGGAACAAGGCCCGTGCTGTGTCTGCTTGGCTCGGGCCTTTTACTCAGAAGTCGCTCTCCTTCCCGGAGTACGACACAAGGATGCACAGGTGTGCGCATGTTTTTGTGCTACAGGGGCATGAGATGACAGATCAAACGGATCTAACGGCAAAAGATTCGTAATGTATTATTTGGCCAAATGGTCCAATGGTCTTGGGCTTGTATGACATTGCAAGTCGTAGGATAAGTCAGCCAACCGCTTTTTGCACGTTCCTTCCAAGGAAGCCTTCTTCAATGGTGAGAACAGCATCGGCAACTTAAGCAACTTCCAGATACTGAAAGAGAAGCTGAAATGTGCCGAGTTCTCGGCCTATTTGCAACGTTTCTCCTATGCCTCTAGGCTTGAAAGACTGCGTGCAAGTTCAATCTGGAATGTGTCCAAAAGCCCAACTGGGGAGAGATCTGGAGATTCCAGGGAAATCTTGGATTTGCGCTGGAATGGCATGCTCCTGTGAGGTTGCATTGTAGGATTTACAGGTGCTCAGGCGGATCTCAGAAATCCTCAAATCATCCAAGGTCTATATTGATGGAGGACTGATTCCAGAGAAGGTCTTTCAAATCCAGGAGGAGTCCAGTGGGCTTTGCTTGGAGCGGGAGGTGCATGATGCCAGATCCCATGGAATCGTCATGGCGCCTTGTGCAGTTGAAGGACAAGGCGTGGTCGACACTTTGCTGCATGGACCGCCATGCTACTTACCAGCCTCCGACTCCAACCTATATAATTACTAGCGGTGGCCTCCATCCTAATAGCGATGGCCACCTAGAAGCAATGGCTTCCAACCCAATAGCAATGGGCCAACCTATAGGGGTGAGGCCTTTGCCGATCTTGGTGAAGTACTGCAAACCAGCGCGTCCGTCGTCATTGCTTTCATCTTCGAGTGTGAGTACTACTCCCTACTTGGAAAGTCGATGCGTTTTGTTTTTTTGTTGCGTTTCCTTGCGGAGGAATTGTTCTGGAAGTAGGTGCGTGTTGCGTTGCCTTTGTGTTTGGCAAACCATGTTTTGATGAGCTTGTTTGTTTACAAGCGTTTTCCACAAGCGCTTTCAAGCCACATGTCTTGTCACCATTGGTTTTCACATTGTGCGCAAATCAAACTTGACAAGTGCTCGTGGTCATCGTGGTCTGGCTAACTTGATGCCTCTAGAATTTGTTGAGGGTAAATGCTTTTCGGCCCTACAAGGCACAAGGCCTCTCATGCAAGATGTTCACAAGCCTTGATTTTGGAGAGAGAGGTGAGAGAGCCAACCAAAGAACAATGCCTCATACAATGCAGGTTCATGGCGCTCACAAACCATGTGCAAGGCAGCCAGGCATGACAATTTACAAGACACTTAGAAGTAGACAACAGTGCTGGGTTCAACTCTTGCGTTTTCCCCGATGCAATGCCAAGCAAGACTTCAAAAAGTTGAAGCATTTTGCCAGAGATCATGGCCACGCCACCTCCTGGTGCTCCGACTCACTGTAGCATCAGAGGCTGTTTCTTGCCTGAATCAACTTTGTCTTGCGACGGGTGTTGTTTGTACGGTGCTGCTGGGCATTTTTTTGTTAGAGTTGTTTTCGAGCAGAGCATTTTTCCCCTGCAGGGTTTCCTCATGCATCTCAGGTTCCGCCAAGATGCATGCTCCTGTCCACAATGTTCGCTGGAAGATTTGGGTGGCCCATTGCGAGACTCGGTCAAACATGCTCTGAGTCTTTCCTTTTTTTTCGCATGTGCTTTCCTAGGTTTTTCTGTCTTTCATTGTGGGGATCAGGATTTGGAGCTTCTATCCTCCACTGGCCGTAGCAGAGCAAGTCATCACGCATGCTTCTTGCTACTTGCCGGCATGAACCTGAACGTAGCTCCACATGTTGCTTTTGTGTGGTGTGTTTCTTGTGGTGGAGGCAGATTGAGACATTGTGTGGATGTTTCAATCCAACTGTCTAGTGACTAGTGCTTTGACGCTAAGTTGGAAGAACAGCTGGCGGTCATCGTCCCGATTATCTGATACGATGAAGAAATTGCAGGACGTTTTGTCAGTCGCTTCCTTTTGAGCAGTGACATTGTGTTCGTGGCGTGACTTTGATCAGTGCGTTCCTCAAAGGCTTAGGTTTAGCTGATTTCAAAGAGCCTGCACGAGTGTCAGGGACATTGTTTCTGACTGGAGTTTCCAGCGCATTCCATCCATGATGCAGGAAGAAGACCCAGACCATTCAGAGCCACAAGTGTTTCAAGCTGTACCAGGACCATCTCGTATGGTCCGCTTTGTGTTGCCCATTCCTTGCTGCAGCTGCATTGCAACTTCTTTGGAGCCCACCTATCTTTTCTATGCCTGCAACACACATGTGAAACTTTCCGGTCTTTGGCCATTTGTGGTTTCTGAGTCTTCGCCGCTTCAGTGCGCGCAATGACCACTCGAAAAGCTCTTTTGAAAGCACACGCAGTCAGATGGAATGCTGTCCGCAAAGAGCTGCGAAAAAAATGCCGCCTTGCTGCACTACCTGTAGAGCGAACCTTGGCAGGCGCTGTTCGCGCAGGCATCCTCGAACCTGCCTGTGCAAAGGCAGAGCCGAAGCTTTCATCGGACCACAACAGAAACCCGAGCGGAACCAAAAAGCAAGTTGAAGACCCTGTATGTCGGTTCTGTTCCTGTGCTCGTTCTCAAGTCCCTTGGCGCAAAGATGGATTGGGGCAGATCTGCAAGAAATGCAGCGCAGGAAGGCGCAAGGAGAACAGAGCGGAGGCAAAGAGACGCCGCGCAGAAGCGCAGTCCCTCTAGATGTTGCGTTTTCCCAGGTTGACGACTTGACAAAAGAGCTGCTTGCCGTGCATGATGGTTGCGCCCCTTTGCAGTGTGAGAATGTGTGTGTGACATGTGTGCGCATATCTAGCAATAAGTTATCGTTCTTGCTGAGCAAAAGATTGAATACATATTTTCTAGGAAATGGTGACTTTGTGTTGTTTCAGAGATGACTGCAGATGCTTAACGACAGCTGCATGGTCAGCGCCAAACCTTGCTCATTGCCACTGTATAACTAGTGTCCAAAGATAGCTGTGCAGGTTGCAAAGCAGACGCCAAAGGATGGCGAAGAGAAGCCAGATAGCAGCAAAAAGCCAGACGCAGAAGCAGTTGCGCCAGCTGAGCCACCTACCGGTGCCGGTTCTTCATCTGAAGAAACGAGTGAAGAGAAGGAGTTTGATTTGAATCTTGCGGATGACTGCGTAGAGTGGATGCTCTCTGCTTGGGCTCCAAAAATCCCAGATGAGGCAAAACCCGTTTGCGCCTATTTTGTTGAGTCGCATTTGCGTCCTAAGGTCTGCAAAGGCCAGCCTCTTTCACTCTGGTTTAGGAAAGAAGTGATTGATTCAGGATTGTTGAAAACAAAGGACAAGAGAAGGCAGTTCCTGCGGACTTGGAAGGCCAATCGTGCTACCAGGTTCTGCAAAGGACCTCAAGAGATTTGGGCGAAGAAGGGGTAAAACAAGCTCACCTTATTTGCGTTCCTCTTCAGATCCTGATGGTAAATGTTCTGACTCACAAAAAAGATAAATGAAGCAAGATGCGTGTTCTATTCCATGTTGCGGGTTTATGTTATTGAACAATTCTTGGTTCACATACGGCGTTCCATGGGGATTTGCATCTTCTCTTGAGTAAACTTGTCTTACTTGAGGTAGCTGTGTGCACAGCGTTCCATTGGGATCTATTGGTTGAACCTTCCAAAATGAACTCGAAAGAGCACTTTCTGATGCACAGCGTTCCATGGGGTTTTGAACATCAGTGCATTGACTTGTTTGACTTCCTGAATGCGCGGCGTTCCATGGTGAACCACATACCTGACAGACATTGCATTGAGTTTCCCGGATGGGTGTAGTGGATAGTGGCAGTTAGATGTTTCCTATCCCATGTCCAGAGCAAACAGGTGGCCATAGTCAGCACATGTCCACACACATTCCTTGCACCTCCTTGCTGTGGTGGAGGTATGTTTTACCTTTGGTCGTCCCTCATGTCCTCAACCAACGACCTTTTTCAATTCCCCAAACGCTCCACGGAGCCGAACTGACCGGATTCGCTCAGGAAACCCAGCTTTGGCACCCGGCGAATCGGGACCAGGGCCAGGAAGGTGCACCCTGCTGCAGTGGCCTCATGCTGCTTGGAACGGTCCAAGTGGAAGGAAGATGTTTGAGAGGGAAGGCGGTTTGAAAGGAAAATCCCCCACACCCCAAACCCCTTTCGAGGACCCCGAACGGTGTTGGTGCCAAGGGTGCCATGGGATGCTCCAATGCCGGAGCACGAGACCTAATCGATCACATCAGCTGACTTCAGAAATCCTCGAAATGTAATGAAATGAAGACAAAATATAAAATTCAGATGAATCAAGCGTTATCTTCTAGAGCCATCTAGAGTCTAGAGTGATGGGCCTTTTGATTCTGCTGTGTTGTAGTCCAGAGGATATTATTGCATGGGCAGTCTAGCAGATGAAAATACAAAAGCAAAGCAAACCCTTGGCCCTTGCCTGTCAGGTTGGTGATCCGTTCGCTGCGTAGACACCCTATACATGTAGGGAATACTAACATTGACATGGCCATGTGAAGAGGGTGGTGCGACTGCCGGAGATTGTGGTCGTGCATCGAGACCCTCACACAGAGCGAATCTTTGAAGGAGCCCTAAAGAAACATTGCATAACATGAAGCGAACAAAAGGGGGAATAGATGTACCAGGTAGGTGGTAGCGGTAGACACCTGTTGATCTGGACCCCCTTTCGACGCTAGACACCTGTTGATCGCCGTCCGCTAGGAACTGGAACTTCTTGCAATGCCTCGCTGGCTCACAAGGGGGCGAGCCGCACACAGACGAGTGCGACATTTCAGGCCGCAACCCCAGCCAACGCTTCAAGGTGGCTGAGGACTGGGCACTGGCAAAGTGCGCCAAAGACATGAGGTTCCAATATGTCCCAGGGTTTCATGATGTTATATTTTTGACCTGCCATTGGCTTGCGTAGAGCATTTTTGGAGGACGCTGAGCCAACGCTGGGCTCGCGTTTGGTAATGTTGCGTTCGCTGAGTCCCATCATGTCCAATCCACCTCATGGAAAGCCATTTCAAGTCAGCCCCTGCATCGTATAGACATTTTCTGAGTGCCATGTCCGAGGGCCCATAATATTCAGTAATCCAAGAGTCCAAGAGTTTCCATTTCTCTTGTCCTGAAGACATTGTCGTACGAAAACTTCAAGGCCCCATCATAGGACTCCCCGCTCCCCCATACGAATACATACATATTACATATGCGACTTAGTATGCGACTTCTATTCTCCCTTTCCGGAGATTAAGCTGGAAATTGAACATATACCTTGGAATGTTAGTAAGTAACCTTTGCACTAGTTGTTTGTGTTCAATCGGCTGATGGAAGGGTTCTTAAAGTGAGAGCAAAAGGGTGGTGTTCTTCGTCCTCCGACCCCTGACGTGGCCTGACAGAGCCACATCACATAATGTACGACAATAATGTATAATGCAAAGATCGGATTAATAAACCTCCTGTATTTACCGCGAGCCGCAAAGCCCCGGAATTTCATCCAAATTAAGAGTGGACAAATTGGTAGCTGATTTCCACCTGAATTAAGGTTGTTGGGTGCTAGAACCCCCGCCCAGTTGATCCGCGCCCCATGACCAGGTCAATTTTTTACGACTGCTACTGCTCCTCCTCCTGCTGCTGCCCCTGCTACTGCTCCTGCTCCTGCTCCTGCAACAACAACTACAACTACTACTGCTACTACTATTACTACTACTGCTACTACTACCGCTACTACCACTACTACCACTAGTACCACTAGTACCACTACTACTACTACTACTGCTACTACTACTACTACCACCTACTACTAAGAACTACTACTACTACTACTACCTATACTACCTACTACCCACTACCTACTTAATACTACTTAATACTACTGAATACCACTCAATACTACTCAATACTACTCACTACTACTTACTACTACTTACTACTACTTACTACTACTAACTACTACTAACTACTACTAACTACTACTAACTACTATTAACTATTACTAACTACTACTACCTACTACTACCTACTACTACTACCTACTACTACTACTTCTACTACCTCTACTTCTACTACTACTACGACTACTACTACGACTACGACTACGACTACTACGACTACCACTACCACCACCACCACCACCACGCTACTACCACCACCACCACTACTACTGCGACCACGACCACCACCACCACTACTACTCAGACTGCGGCTAATACGACTACTACGGCTACCGCCACGACCACCATGTTTATGGAAGTGGACCTCATAAATGCTACCTCGGACCTGGTTGTGTTGTTGACATTCCACGCTTGGGGGGTTTCAGTCCGGGGTTTGCATTTAGACACCTTTAAAAATAAACATTCCTAAATGAGTGTCGGGATGTGCCGGGTTCCTTCCTGTTTGGCTGCTCCCGATGCTAAATCTCAAACCGGCTTCCGAAGCTAGTAAGATCATGTGGTGAACCCTGGCTGCAACTTCAGGAGGGCCGGAGCGGCCCGTTGCTCTTCCATGATGGTCGCAGCTGCCTGGTGCCCGAGATCCACCAGTCAGCTGACACGGCCGTCACCCCCTTCGACGCAGCCGTGCAGAACTGCGGGGTGCGGGTGGTGCAGCGAGATGATGGTGTGCGACTGCAGGCGGAGCCATGGATGAAGCCTTTGGTGGTTTGGTGGACACAGAAAGTTGTTTTCAACAGGTGTCTTTCTAAATATATGAATAATACGACACTTGTGGGGATGGTTTTGGGGATCCTCTCCTATTGATTCGTAGCAATCATAGAGGGGAGGCTTTTTGTGATTAAAAGGACCCTAGCTGCCTAGCTGTTAGGTTAGACAGTGTCATCCTTAAGGGCAGGGCAGGCTCTTGCAGAGGTATCATTCAACACACAAACAGAGCAGAACAAGTCCATAGTATCATCACTTGAGTGCTGAGCACTTTATGTTCATGTGTTTAGTGTTTTTTCCGTAAACATCTAGGAACCACATGAATAGTCCGAGCGTGTGAGCGATCCTGCGTCCTACCTAGGAGCGTCCTACTTAATAGCTACTGATTAGTTTGCTGACTACCTTCCCTTGCCTCTTGATGGTGGCCATCCATCCCTCCCGAGCCAAAATATAGAACCGCTCTATAGTAGTGCTTGCTCTTTTGGGTTGGCTGTGTCCAGAGTACGCTCCATCCCGCAAAAAGAGACATGAGACCCGCCTGAGGATCAGTCGGGGGCGAACCTGTGCTTAACATTGCAGGGAGAGAAGCTATCCATGGAGGAGTGTGCTGAAGAGCAAACTCAAGCCTCATGGCGCCATGAGGGTCATGAGGGGTGGACTTGGACATCGATGAGAGCCCAACGAGTCCGGTCCCAATTCCATTGATTGGTAGAATTGGGGTGTGCGAGCGGAACACGTCTTAACCATTTATAATTTATAGGTATATAATAACCAACATAACATTTATTTTATAAGATTAAAGGTCGGTTCCGTTGATCTAACTTCCTGCAAGAGGCCAAGGCCCGCGTCACATTCTCAAATCAAGTCTGTCCGATCTCTCTCAACTCCCCGATGGTTTGAACGTACTCCTTTCAGACATCATCCTTGTTGAGGTTCAAAGTCAAGCCGTGTGGCACAACACTTGCAGCCAAACTCGCAGGAATCTCTAGGCTCAGTAGGTGCTTTGGCGAACCTCGGGTTTGTTGGTCCTTGATGTTGCAACCGTTGAGGTTTTTCGACTCAAGACCATGGAGGAGGTCGCGAAGGTCATTCTTCGCAAAGACCTTTGTCTCGACGCCGGGCAAGGCTCAGCCTGGTGGACACCGCTGTGTTTGGTTGGGATGCTTGGGGAAGCTGGGCGAAAATGAAAGTCAAAGCTTTGGCACTGACGTGAAATGGATTGAAAGTATCAATTCTAAACATCCTGGGGTTCCGAAGTTCAGCATCCAAGTGTAGTGGTTCCTTCCTTCCACATTGGAGCAAATGAAGATTTGTTCTTGCCTTTGGTACACCATCTACCAACAACAAACAAACAAAGCCCATCTAGCTGCTAGTACACCGCCCAAAGCTGACTCAGACACAAAGAAGGACACTTGCACATATGGTGTGTTTATATCTATATAGTCTATATGAAAATAACAGTGTCTATACACCTGTTACTTTATTTACAGGCCAGAGAGTATATTGTCTTCGGCTGCGCGTCCTAGTTCTGGGATGTCCGATAAATCTTTGTTTCTTGTGCGTATTGGAGGACATCCACACCTCTCACGTGAACCCCTGGTCCAAAGATGTCAAAAGAAAAGGCTCCTCCCCACCGCCAGGCAAAGGCGTCGTTGCATACTTTTGCCACTTGGTCTCTCTAAGATGACATGGATGGCTTGCACGCCTGGAAAGTTACATAGACAAACTGGAAGGCTAGTTTCAGATGTCATTTTAGTCTGCGGCGTGGACAATAAAGGGTTGGTGTTTCGGGGTGTGGAGGTTTGAGCAGTTCCATCTGAGGTGACAAAGAGAACCCAAACCAGGCCTGGAGCCTCTTCAACTCCAGATTGCTGTGGGAAGATGGTCATGCGACCTATTGCGTGGACTTCAAGGATGCAACTAGGGGGCGTGGGTTCCATCGGTTTTCAGCCTGTTCACTTTGTTGAAGTAAGAACCAACGAGTCTAGTGCCAAGGTGCCGGTCCAAAGGCGAAACCACGGACCTGGCAGAATCGGCGAATCTGAAGGACTCCCTCAAGCTGCAGAGCATTCCCGAGCGCTGGGCTTTAGCGCTTTCCCCCTGTGCGGAGAAAATCGGCCAGCGCCTGGCGCGCCACGATGTCCATGCGGATGGGACGCAACTCGGTGGAAGGTCACGAAGACCGTCACGAAGACCGCAGACCGCGACGGGGGATGAACAGCGATGCCCTTTGTTATTAGTGGCGATGGCCTCCAACCTAATTACTAGCTTCTTGCTCCTAGGGGAATCCTGAAAATACAGGTCCGCTGTCAATTGGTCGTGCTTTGTGGGGGGGGTCTTAAACCCCATAATATGACCCTTCATGACAGCAGATGTTCAGTGGTCAGTGACGGCAAGAAGTGATAATTCGCGGATGTGCCGTGGGTGGTTGTGTTGTAGTGACATTGTAGTGGAGGTGTTTTAGCTCGGTTTGAGAAGTGTTTGTTTCAGTGCTGTCATTCATGGCAGCCCAGGTTTCTTTTGCGTGACGCAGATGTTGGGAAGTGTTTGGCTGCGAGGCGAAGGGGCTTGACTCGGGCTATGGAATGGGTCGCTGTTGGTGCATGTGACATGTGATTAAATTGATTGCCTGATGATTTTGTGCGCATTGCATTATTGTCAGTCACCTGACATCACAATTTTCATGGTAGCAAGGTGCGAGGTGAGGTAGCGAGTCTGAGATGATTGAAGCAGAACCAGACAACTGCAGATCATTCCGAAGAGCCAAGCCGGCCAAGTTAGAGTCAGCTAGAGAAAAAAACGGAGATCGCGGATGTTTGTTTCCTGCCAGATGCTTGCCAAACAACCATGGAACACTTTTGTTGAGCCAGGAGAGGCGTAGAACTGGAGACTCCTTTAAAGCTATCGAGCTGCAATGATGCTTGGTATGACTGAAGCAGACGCCTGGTGTTCATGGAAGAAATCGTCCTGGAGAATTTCCCACAGTTTGTGACATAGCATGACAAGTTGATGCTAGCTGGATCGAAGCCCTGGTATTTTGTCCAACTGCAGTTCCTTCTTCGCCGCAGGGGCCCCCAAAAGGCGTGACTAAGTCCAGCGATAGGGGGATCAGGTCGGCTGCAAAGCAAAATAATGCGCGTTCATGTCAATTGCATGACCTCATCCTCTTCCGTTTTGGAGGCTGATTCTTGAGGACGGTGTCGGATTGCAATGCACACTGTGATATCCTGGGCATACCGGCATGACAGGATCAGAAGAGGTGCATGCCAAGTGATTATGCAATTGGTTGTTCAGGCTTCAATGTGCAAGCTGGACAGATGGAACAAGGGATTTGATTGGGTGGACCCATCATATCCTAAAACACACCTAATTAAGGACGGTCTAGGATGCTGTATGGTAGTATTGTGGGCCCTTCTCAGGGTAGTATAGTAGACCTTTGGAAGTATACCTGTTTGATGACCATCATGGTGGTGAAGGCAGGAATGTCCAGCATCAATTTAGAGACGTTCCACAATTCAAGCAACTTCTTACGCTTTTGCTGCTGTGCTTAACACCCATGCACCTCCAGCCTCAACCCTTTACTTCTTGAGAACGTTTTCTTCTTGTAAAGGAATGTTGGGGCGCGGCCAGGGTGTCCAAACTATTTTCCCTGCTGGATGGACACGCCTTTGAGCTAGGTTTACTGTGTGTCTTCCATTTTAGACCCAACACACCTACCAGAGCCACACAAAAACTTTGATAAACAGAAACAGGAGCACAAAACAGTGTGCAAGTGTTCATGTTGATTTTGTGTTTGGAGCTGTGTCGATTTTTCAGTTAGGTCTACATGGTCGGACCGCCCTGGGGGAACACCATGCAAGACCCCTGGTTTGCGGGCCGAGTGTCGGGTCCAGGACTGCGCAAACATGATGCCTGCACCTTGTCGGGGTATTCTACACCCCTTTTTGGGGGTCTACAATGTTGTGACAGGGGCCCCTGTACAGTGATATGAATTCATCGCACTGACTTGCCAATGCAGAGCGCACTGCGGAGCTTTGCAAACCCGCTGTCTTGCTGTCCATTGTTGAGGTCATTGTGTTTTTTGATATTGTGACTACTACGGGTGACTTTCTTCTGTGTGTATTTATATATTTCAGCTGGCACCCGCGGAGCTGCTTGAAACTCCAAGCGCGTTCCAGGTCCATGGCCCACTCCTAATGAACAGTGCCATTTGCATGGTTTTTTGAGTTTATATACACCCTCAATCTTCGTCGGTGATTCAGATTCTTTGAGGAGGGCACAGGGTGCTCAAACAGCACTGAAAACTGAAAACATAGATCGAGCTGGCACATCCACACACTGCGCTTCGCCATGCGACGTCGTCGCGCTGCGCGAACGAGGATGATCAACGCTTTCGAGAGCTGAAGAGCCGACAGCAGGTGCAACACGTCTCGTGGCAGGAGTGGGGGAGTGATGAGGATGATGGAAGTGCGGGTGGCCAGTTGACATTGGAGAGTCGCGCTCACCACCCAAGCTTGACAAAAGTCTACCAGGTAGAGTCGTCGCAGTCTACCATATCATGCCCATTCTACATCATGTTACATCAAGAGCATCAAAGTGCCGATCTCCCAAAATACAGAGGATAAAGCAGCCAGGAAAGGGATCAGTGTTGTTGGGTAGGAGGGACCCAGCTCCATACTAGTTCCATACCCCATGTTGTTAAAATATCAGTGGAATTTGCGACAACCTTCAAACACTTTGAAGACGTTGTGACGTCATGGAAGTCCGTTACATTGGGGCGATATTGGGCGCTTGGACCATCCCATGTACCACCTTTGTGGCCGTAATAATGCGGCTCGCGTTGCTCAAACCCTCCTGAGGGCTTCCAACATCTTCCAACTATATTTAAGGGCTGCCGCCCCTGCCGCCGACCCCGGGACTCAACTGCAGCTTGCACTCGCCAAAAAGCTATGGTTCAGGTGACTACGACAGAAATTCCGAGACCGGTTCAGGGGCCCCTGCAGAATCCCTGTACCAGCATGTATAGTTCTTTGCGCATTGGTGCTACCCAGTTGGATCCTCATCCAATGGGTTTTAGTGGGTCTACATGCCACACTGTAGATCTTAGCGGCAGATCAAAATAGAGTTTTCAACAAAAGGGACTGAAACAGAAGCAAGTGTTTCAAGCGAGTCGCTGAATGCATCCGCTTCTGCAAGGAAAACAAACCGAGAATCCAAACGAGAATCTACAAAGCAGCGGTGGCGCAAGCGGATGCAATTTGGCAGCAGCCGTCCCAGTGCAGGGGACCAGGCCAAAGGCAAAACCCCTATGAAACACAGGATCCGAAAGAAGCCCAGAGAGCTATCAAGCTGGCGAGGGCCAAGCGCAACAGGACAGTGCCATCCAGCAACAGCGAAGCCGCTGTGATGGCAGGGACATGGCAAGCCGAAGCCCACAATGTTGCCAGAGCAGTGGACGAATTTCTCGCGGACTGTCGGCAACGACAGACGTGCAACTCTGAGCAGTTGCAGTTCCTCCAGAAAGTTTGCAGGCGACTCCAAGCGGAAGCCATCACCGGGCAGGATCGCGGGGGAGCGGCCGAAACGAACACAGAACCACTTCGATGGGCTTTGCATGGAGGTCCAGGCACAGGCAAATCTTATGTGTTGAATCTTCTGCGGAAAGACTTGTTTGAGCAACGGCTTGGGTGGCAGCAGGGCAAAGAATTCCAAGTTGTGACTTTCCAAGCGGTCAACGCAGAACCTTTGGATGGAGAGACCATCCATGCCGCTCTGGGGCTGGCATGGCACGGGAACGATTCCAGCGTGGATGCACAGCGCGTCTTAGACTTGGCCAGCCAAGCCGTCCAATGGCGGTGGCTGGTGATCGATGAAATAAGCATGGTCAGCGCTGAAATGCTCGCTCGTTTGGAAGCACGGTGCCGACAACTGGTGCCAGACCTGAGCGCCACCAAGTATGCCAAGCAGACCAATGGTCGTGCTGCACCATTTGGAGGCCTCAATCTGATCTTGTCCGGCGATCTGTGGCAGTTGCCGCCACCACGAGGAACGTTTCTGGGTCAGATTCCTTGGCAGCTGCTCACAAGTGTCTCCTCGAAGAAGTTGCCATTAAGCTTGCAAGGCCAGCACTTGGTTTGGGCCTCTGCTGCGGACGGTGGCATCCAAGGTGTAACAGAGCTACGACAATGTGAACGCACACAAGATCAATGGTTACAAGAACTTCAAGCAGAGCTGCGTACCGGTCATCTATCCAAAACAACCACGACTTTCTCCATGGCCGACCCACGACAGTTCCCGGGAGTTGGCTAGAGGCCCACGGCCGCCCAACCTGTGGTACTATGTCATGTCAGCAATTGCACTTGCAAAACATCTCACCTACAACAATCATGCGCAAGGAATGCCCGACGTGCCAGAGAGAACGTCTGAGTAAGCAACTCGTTGCCAAGGGTCCACAGGATTCACGCTTCACAAAGGACCTCACCCGCGCGCACGCAATCTTTAGCACCAATGTCGTGAAATGCCACGTCAATCGTGTCCGCGCAGAACAGTGGGCTCGTCTCCAAGGGCAGCGATTGCACTATGCGATTGCGCAGGATGTAGCTTCCTCGCAAACGTTGCACGCAAAACCGGACCTGGCTCAAGAGAAAGTAGCTTGGCTGCAACGTAGTGATGCCGATTGCGGTGATCGGTGCGGCGCATTGCCCTTATGCGTAGGCATGCCTGTGCAGGCACGAGAGCATCTATACCGGGGTGACTTTAAAATCTTACGTGGCTGCCATGGCGTTGTTTGTGGTTGGTCCGCAACCACGAACGAACAAGAAACCCCTGAGAAAGACGTCATCTGGAATAAACTACCGGAATATATTTTCGTGCGCTTTCACACGCGGACCGAGTGGCAGCTCCCGGGACTGACGGAAAAAAACGTCTTCCCCGTCGGCGTCGCGCGCAAGCCGTGGTACTTGGACGCAGGCCGCGCCAACCCACAATTGAGAGTAACGCGCAGTCAATTCCCACTGGCGCCCGATTTCGCCGGGACAACGCACGCCTTACAAGGATACACTGCTGAGCACGGTGCTATCGTTGACGTGCAAGGCAACGCCGATCCCATTGCCGTGTACGTCGGAATGACGCGTTGCCGCTCGCGGCAAAAACTACTTATCTACCGCCCTTTTCCTCTGGCACCTCTGCAAGCAGGTCTGCCATGGGGACGGCAGCTGCTGCTGGATGTTTGGAAACAAGAACGCATTGACTGGGAGGCCCTGCGCAAGAAATACCTCGATGAGAGGCCGTGTATGGAATGCAAGGAAAACAAGCGTAAAGATGGTTTCACAAAAGGACAGTGGCGCCAAGATAGTTACCGTGTTTGTAAAGAGTGCACAGCGCACAAACGTGATGCGGGTACGCCGTACCGTTGCAGCCAATGTGGTGTCTGGCATGCCGCCACCCACTTTCTTTCGAAGCAGCTGAGTCCACGCTGGGGGTCGCGCCGCGTCTGTCTCTCCTGTGAAGCCAAAAAGCAATGCTTCGTGTGCCAGAAAACTCTAGCCGTAGAGTTTTTCAGCGCTGCTGCCTGGCGACTAAGACAGGGGAACCGGCGAAAGTGCCTCACTTGCCAACGTAAAACCCGCGGCGCTTGGACTTGTGCGCGCTGTCGACAACGAAAACAACGAGACCAGTACACCATCTTTCTCCGCCGACGCTCTTCCGGAAAAAACGGGAAACAAGTGTGCGATGCGTGTCACACTACACGCATCCAGACCGTCCAACGCAAACGCGTCGCCGCCAAGACCCACGCGCGTGTAGCGTCGCTGCGCCAACGAATCCACCGAGAACACATCCTGCAAGAAATCAAAGACCTCATCGCCAGTCACGTCCACGAACGCAAACGTCTGGCTCCCACGGACTCCGGCGCACAGGAAGCCAACGCCGCAAAGCGCCCCAAACAAAGCACAAGTGTCGTGGCAACACACGCATCGTCCATCGAGCCACTGCCGAGCACAGTCCCGCACAGTCGTCGTCAAGCAAAACGCCAAGCCACGACAGAGACTCACCCCACACGAGAATCCAAACAAGGAAAACAAACCACGTCAAGCGCGCAGCCACACGCGCCAACGCATGGCCACGCATTCAATCCGGAGGTGCCCGAGGCGAAGCCAGGGAATCAGGTCAGAGGGGAGCCGACAAGGCTGTATGACTACGTCTGCCCACACTGCAAAAATCCATGCCGCAGTGGGGTCCAAACCGGCCGAGTCCACCATCGAGGAAAGTGCGGCCACAAATTTCGTGTCTTGGACGGTGCAGTTGCTGGTCGCCAACACGAGCACACTTGTCCACAATGTGGTGCGCGCGTCTTGTCAGCCAAGCCCAATGGACGAATTCAAGTCCAACACCGCACACCCAACGGCAAGGCTTGTTCTTGTCAGGCATGGAATGTTGCAGCATAAAAACATGGCGCGTTCTGTGCCGGACGACCAGACCAAATCGTCATTCCCAATCGAGCCTTGCTTTGTACTCCTGGCGTTTATGCTTCTCCATGCGCTCGTAGCCGCACTACTGCAAAAGCACACAACTCGGGGAGGGCCAAACCCCAGAAGCCCCATCGTTGTCGTGGAGGTGGTGGGAACACCTGGTCCCGCCACAGCTTTTCCCAATCTAATTCTGATCCAAAACGAGCCTCCCATGGTCGCACTTTGGGTGCCAAACGCTGCCTCTGAATCCCCAGAAAAAAAACAAGTTTGTTTCTATTTGTCTCGGTCATCTTGGCCCCGGACACCGGGTCCCGCCACAGCTTTTCCCAATCTAAGTCTGGTCCAAAACCAGCCTCCCATGGTCGCACTTTGGGTGCCAAACGCTGTCTCTGAATCCCTACAACAAGCCCTTAGCATTTGTCTCGGTCATCTTGGCCCCGAACACCTGGTCCCGCCACAGCTTTTCCCAATCTAATTCTGATCCAAAACGAGCCTCCCAAGGTCGCACTTTGGGTGCCAAACGCTGCCTCTGAATCCCTGAAAAAAAACAAGTTTGTGTCTATTTGTCTCGGTCATCTTGGCCCCGGACACCTGGTCCCGCCACAGCTTTTCCCAATCTAATTCTG